TTTTAGTTCTTAATCATTTGGCCTGCGTCTAATCAGCCCACATGAGATTCCTAAGGAATCAGGTAGGAGTAGCATTCATTATATTCTCTCAGATAAATATTCCTCATTTAGTTTAATTTTTTACTCTGAAACAAAGAGAATCTAATGAGCTCATTGCAAGGAGCGTGCCACAACCACATTTGTACCAAGGAGTGGTCAGGTTCTCGGACAAAGCAGCGAGGATGCCTAACAGGAGACGGGCTTTGCGAATTTCAGCGCACGCTTCAAAACCAAACCGTGTAAGCAAAGCTTGAAAATCCTTGGAACAGCTCACGAAAATAGAAAATTTGGGGGGGTTTGGGCGCTGGAGTTGCAATAAAATAAATTAAAATCAGAAAAATTAAGAACTTGAATTGACATCTTTGACCCCAATTAAAATAGATGATGTCATAGTTTTCTATTGACCAATCAAATCGGCCTATTTAAAATTTGTGATGTCACGTACAGTGATAAACTAATCAAATTGCTCAATTTAAATATTAGCTAATCACATTCAAAATTCTAAATTCACTAAGAGATATTTACATATTTACAGATTAATGGGAGAACTTTATTATATTGAGAGCAATTTTCTTTGAAATATCAATATTACCCGTTAACAAGTTTTAAATATGAACAATGTAACACTGGCTATTATATTAAAAATTGTCATGCACCCTAATCTTTTCTTTTAATACGCTGATTTTATAAACTTGTCTAATGTAATGACAACATATAATCGCAGAGCCACAAATTTAACGCTATCAATTGGGACATAATTAAACAAAATAGAATTGATGAAAATTAAATCCAGTTAGGCTCAAAACCAATTAACAATAAGGGAAGTTGCACATGGGGTTTATATATTGGTTAATTTTAAATGTCTCTATCTTTCTGTGTGACACAATGTGTTTCACTTTTTTTTTGTGTTAAAAGGGAATTTTAACACCTCCTTCTCAAGTTCAAAGGGGTTGGACAAAGGATTTTTGAACCATGGAAATTTTTTATTTTTAAAGCCCATTTCAAGTTTTTGATTTTTGTCCCAGATAAACCACCGGATTAGTCAAAGTCCACCCACAAGTCCACAGAATTAAAACTATTTGTGAATCTATGATACCATCTTAAAGACCCAAATATCAAACCACATGTTGTTACACTTCAAAATTAGTTGGCAATAAGAGAGTAATACATCGAGTTTATATACTGATTTTAACACTTTATACTTGAAAGTAAAAAGTAGAGTTAAGCATCATAATTTTGCAAAGAGAGTCGTGAAGTATAGTAAATAGAAACTTTTTTCTTTTATCTCAATCATAGGAGAATATAAAAATGTTAAGAGAGAAATTAGTATAGTAAATTCATTAAAATCTAGTAAGAAGATAACATTCGTATTTTAGAAAAATTTGTTCTCAATATAAACAAATTGCTCTCAATTTATCACTTACCATTTTTATTCTCGAAAGGATGTACTCAAAGTCAAATAGAAATTAGGGTAAGCGCGATAAGAATCTGTCTAATTAGTACAATCATAGTATATGCAGGAAACCAAAATTATCTCATGCATGTAACTATGTAAGTGCTAGTTTCAAACAAAATTAAATGGTAAAAAAACAAATGGCACCGTCCAACTTTCTTGATATAGTTCGTGCAGTCGATTGGGACGTAGTGACATAAAGAAATCAAGTGAAAAACGCATGCATAGTCTATCTCCTTATCTTCCAAATTTAACTGCATTATTATTAAGAATAAAAAAGATAGATAAAGTAAATAACTCTTTAGTCTTCAGTCAGCTACTTGGTAGCAACAGTGGCGGATTTACAATGGGGGTATCGGGGACACGTGCCCCCACTGAATTTAAAAAATTGCAAAAATAGTATATAATTTTTAAAAGTTTTAAAATTAATATGCGTATTTTTAATCAAATCTTTTTAGATATTTTATATTTTTTTAGTCACATAAATTTTTTATCATTTTAAGTTAGTATGTGTCATTTGTAGTTTAAAACTAGAATATCACGATTAACAATTGTATTTATCCATTTGATCATGATATGTTATTTTAATTTGTAGATAAATATATATTAATGATGTACAATTCACATTCAAATCACACGTAGAACATATGCAAATCACGTTTATATGTATATTTATAAAGTTAAAGAAAAATTGATTGAATGATATATGTTCATCTTCTGCCTTTACTGAAAAATATTTTTGGCCCGCCACTGGGTAACAATAGAACTATGCATTTTCTTAGAAACTAGTCCAATGAATTTAGAGCACTTAAGCAAATCCTTAATTATATACTCCATAAGATATGGTCCCAAATGTAGTTTGTAATGGTAATCATGACGGTAAGGTTCACCTTCTGAACTGCTTCGGTCAATCTTATGACCAAATTTCAATAAAAGATTATACAACTAAAAACTTGATAAATCTTTCGGTATTATATCCTTGTCATTAATTTGGTGTTTGATAATCTGGCCAAAACTCATCCAACAAATCTTGTCAATAAGGTGGTGCTTCTTATAAGAGCTAAGAGAAGATTAAATGAGATGATAAGAGTAAATTATAACAATCACGAAATTGGAGATCGAAATCTCGTGGAGAACAATCCAAAAAAAAAAAAATAATAAATAAATGATAAAGAAAGATATTCTATTTAAGACCTTATGATTGAATTATTTAGACGACAAAGATATTTAATCAATATAACCTTTTCTTTTTCATCAAGTAGTGCCCAATTTTTATCATGTTTTTTTTGGATATTCGGTTAGGTTTTCTTTTATTCTCTTTTATCCAAGAAAATATTCACCTTGTCGAAATTTATATTTTTCATCGAGGCTGGTGATTGTTTCTTTTGACAATGACTTCTGTCTATCTCAATGGTTGAATCAAGACAAGTTTGATAGAGTGATTGATGTGGAAATCCAAGCAGACCCAACTGATGTTCGTGTTCAAGATCCATTATTTAATATTGGAGCTCCAATGACTCGTTCACGAATAAAAAAGGTGCAAACTTCAGTTAATAATCACATAACAATTATTTGGGCAAAGGAAAGTGGCAAACTTGAAGATTACAAGCCCAAAAATAATTAATATGCTATCAATAAATGGAGTTGGCCCAATTGGAGAGTAATATTTCGGCCCACATTACAAGTTAGACCTGTCCGGTCTCATCTCCTAATTTTTAGGACTTGGAATCTCTATTTATTAGGGATAATATCTTTTAAATGTTATCACACTTGTGGCAAGATAAGATTTGGAAGATGTCCTATTTTTTAGAGATAAGATCATTTAAATCTTATCACAATCATGGAAGGATAAGATTTGATTAATTCTCTTTTATCTACATTTAAGTTTGTTCACAATAAGAAGTCTATGTCTTGGTCTCTACTCTCAACCGTTGGATGAAGATTAGATCAAAATTGGATGGCTATAATTACTCTACAAAGAAGATATTGATGGAGCTGACAACTCAGGAATATCTCTTTGTATTTGGAGTTTTATTTTCATTAGACTAATGTGTCTTAATTCTATAAAGGTGTCTAGATACATTGCCTTAATAGATAAGACACAAGTTGTAAAGTTAGAAGTTTACTTGATTTCTAGTTCTTTAAAGTAGGAATAGAGATAGAGATCAAACTCTTCTCCTATTTCGTAGGAGGACTTTCGGCCCCCTCCACTATAAATAGGGGTGTTTGGCTAGCTTTTTAAGGTTAGCTTTTGATGATTTTTTTCAATACGAACTTGAGAGGAAAACTCCTTGTTTTTTTTTTTACCTTTTGAGGTTATTTGGCTTTTTGCAAGATCTAGTAGTTTGCATAAGGTAGCGAACGTGCATTCATGGGTAGTGTTTTTGCTTGTGGAGTTCTTTAGATGTCATTGTAAGGGAGCACATCTATCCATCGTCGTCATAATCTTTAGGCGGGGGTTGTTAGAGTCGTTATTCTTGGGATAGCATCAATATTTTTCTTCTTTTCTATCTTTCCATCCCTTTTTGGTTAGAGTTTTTGTGGCTCAACCTTCTTTGTGTTCTTCGTGATTTTTGTGTTTTTGGGGCAAGAATCAAGTCCTTGGGTAAGCTTCTGCATAATTCAAGTAAGATCTATATTGTCTTGCACATTAGAATTTGTTTTGCCTATAGTTGTCACTATTGACCGAATAAATTCGCATCAATTTGGCCTCAGAGCTTTGGTTCTTGAGACTTGCCAATTGTTGAAAGCTTTGAGAATTATAATTGTCATATATACTCTCCAAACTTTTGGTTCATTTATTTTTTGCATGTTCTGATCTAATTAATCAAGGCTCATCTTTGGTTGATTATCTTTGTGTTCTTTTGTGTCTTTTCTTTAGATCTCGCATATTCTACTTCCATTTTCATCTTTGGTTATGTGTAATTTTGTGTGAATCAAGTTGATTCAGATTTGTTTAGATTTTCGGCCATAGTTGATCAAAAAAAAATTGTTCAAAAAAAAATTTTATTTACGAAGTTGTTGATTCCAGATCTAAAGGCTAGGGTTTTAAAAAAAAAATTATTATACCCTAGATCTATTATAGTTTGGCCGAGAGCAAGGGTTTCAAAACATTAAACCCTAATTTAAAGTTTGGAGTTTCAAAATTTTATTTGCTCCCAATTTTCTTTTAACTGTGAGATTTCTTTTCGTGTTTGTGACATTCAATCTAAATTCGTGCTCTTCTAAGATTTGTTGCAAATACTTAGGGTTTTCATATCATAGTATTCTTATATGCTCATTGCTATGTGTGAAATTCTATTTGCTTAATAATCTCATTGCACATTGTTCGAAGTTACAAGGATAGTGGTAAAACAAGAGTAAACCTTTCCCCTTACTATATTTTAAACCTTTTCTGAGAGTTATTGGGGGTTGAATAGCATAGTTGGGAGGGGTACAAGGGTTGTGAGTTCTTCTAAAATCTCCTTTTCTTGTGTGTGTTGTGTTGTGTTGAAATTTACCAGGCGTCATGGTGGACGGAAAGGAGGTAGCGCCTACTGTTGATGTATCTAGTCAGATCTTGGAGGCAATTGCACAACTATCCATGAAGGTGGATCAACAAAAGGAGGAGCTCAATCAACTAAGGAGAGATGTAGATCGAAATCAAGGAGGGAATCATCTGCCTGGAGCTTTTCGGTTTGCACCAGTTCGTAATGTGGAGTGTGCTCCTGGAGAGCAGAATGCAAACAGATGCAATGAAGGTCGATTCGATGATTTGGAAGGTGACAACGAAGGCAATGGACGTTACCTTTAGGGAGGTAATCCTAGGGTTCACCAACAACATAGGGTTGATGATGATTTGAATTCTATCAAGAGAAAGATTCTTGAGTTTCATGGAAAGCATGATCCCGATGCTTACATCCGTTGGAAGACATCGTGATAGGCTTTTTAACCTCCACAATTATTCAGAGAACAAGAGGATGAAGATAGTTGTGTCTGAGTTTCAGGGTCATGCCACTACTTGGTGGGCTGATCAAGAGAGGATTCATCGAAGCAATGAGGAACCTCAGATAGCTACATGGGAACAATTGAAGAATAAACTACGTAAGGTATTTGTACCCGCTTCTTATTATTAATAAATGCGTGGTGAATTGTAGGATCTTAAACAAGAGACTGAATCAGTGATGGATTACTATCATACTATGGTAGCTTTGAAGTTGAAGATTCGGTTGGTGGTAGATGAAGACCAAACTGAAACTAAGTTTCTACATGGTTTGAATGCTAACATTAGACAGAGAATTGAGTTGCAAAGTTATGTTGACTTTGATGATCTCTTGTCTAAGGCTGTGTTAGTTGAGAAATACTTGAAAGAGAATGCATTGACACGATCCAAGGTGACATCATCCTCATCTTTGGGACGTGGCAATTGGGGATCAGGGAAAAAGGTTTCTACATCAAATTATAGTCCTTCAATCCCGAATACTAGCGCATCAAAAAAGACTTATGGCGCAAGTTTTCAGACACCTATTGGCAAAGCACCAATAGTTGGTCCTAAGGCTATTGCAAGTGCTAGTAGCTCGAAAGCCTCAAGTATTCAATGTTTTAAGTGTATGGGTCATGGACATATGGCTAAGGATTGTGCTAATAGTCGCATAATGACTATGCGACATGGAGTTATCTGAGTGATGGCGAAGAAGAAGAGGAGTCAGCTAAGAGTAATGAGCAAGATGGTTTTGAGAATTTTTATGAAGAGTCGCCACAACAAGCTATGATTTTATGTCATGCCTTAAATGCTCAACCAGTTCATGACAACGAACTAGAGAAACACACTAATATTTTCCATATTAAGTGCAAGGTGAATGAGAAAATTTCTCTTGTTATCATTGATGGAGGAAGTTGCACCAATTGTGTTAGTACTGATCTAGTGCAGCAATTGAATCTTTATACAACCAAGCATCCAAGTAGCTATACTTTGCAATGGTTGGATGATAGAGGAAACATCAAGGTAAGAAAGCAAGCAAAGGTGCCTATCAATATGGGAAATTAACAAGATGAAGTGCTTTGTGATGTGATTCCAATGAAAGCATGCCACATCTTGTTAGGAAGGCCATGAGAGTTTGATAGGAAGGCTAACAAAGAGGGCTATACAAATAAGTATACTTTCCTGAACCAAGGAAAGCCATTTGTTTTGAGTCCGCTTTCGCCGTTTGAAGTCATGAAGGTGCAATCAAAATTAAAAAGATGTGAGAAAAGGCAGCAAAGTGAGAAGAAAGAACCAAAAGAGAAAAATGGGAATGGGAGAGAATCAAAAGTGAGTGAGAGAAATAGAGAAAAGCCAAAAACTGGAGAGAGAAAAAGGCAGTTTTTATGCTTCAATGGGAGACTTGGGAAGGGCACTAAATAAACGAACCCCTTTGATCCTTTGCCTAGTGTTGTGAAATTTGTCTTGCAGGATTATGAAGATGTGTTTCCGAAGGAGTTTCCAAAAGGGTTACCACCTTTAAGAAGCATTGAGCATCAAATAGATTTTCTTCCTGGTTCTGTGATTCCGAATAGGCCAGCATACAAAGCTAATCCAGAGGAGACAAAGGAACTACAACGTCAACTCGATGAACTCCTTGACAAAGATGGAGCCAAGAAAGCTGAGACTGTGCTCAAACTCCATGAAAAAGTGCGCATGAATATTTTCAAGAAGAATGGACATTTTGCTAGGATGGCGAATAAGGGTCGGAAAGAAGTGATCTTTGAACCTAATGATTGGGTTTGGGTTCACTTGAGGAAGATTTGATTTCCTACTAAGGTCAAATTGAAACTTGATCCACGTGGAGATGGTCCTTTTTCAAGTTGACGCGTTTGAACAACAATGCTTATCAACTTGATCTGCCTGGTGAGTACAATGTGAGTGCTACTTTAATGTTTCTGATCTTTCTCCCTTTGATTATGAAGATATTAAAGCTATGGATGCTTTGGATTCGAGGACGAATCTTTCCGAGGAAGGGGGGAATGATGTGGAAATCCAAGCAGACCCAATTAATATTCGTGCTCAAGATTCATAATCCAATATTGGAGGCCCAATGACTCGTTCACGAGCAAAGAAGGTGCAGACTACCGTTAATAATCTCATAACAACTACTTAGGCCAAGGAAAGTGGGCAAACTTGAAGATTACAAACCCAAGATTATTAATGTGCTCTTAATAAATGCAGTTGGCCCAATTGGAGAGGAATATTTCGGCCCACACTACAAGTTAGGGCTGCCCGGTCTCATCTCCTAATTTTTAGGAGTTAGAATCTCTATCTTTTAGGGATAATATCATTTAAATCTTATCACACTTGTGGCAAGATAATATTTGGAAGATTCCCTATCTTTTAGAGATAAGATCATTTAAATCTTATCACAATCATGGAAGGATAAGATTTGATTGATTCTCTTTTATCTATATTTGAGTTTGTTCACAATAAGAAGTCTATGTCTTGGTGTCTACTCTCAACCGTCGGATGAAGATTAGATCAAAATTGGATGGCTATGATTATTCTACAAAGAAGATATTGATGGAGTTAACAACTAGAAAAATTCTTTTCAAGATAAAGGTAAGATTCTTTTGAGAGAATATCTCTTTGTATTTGGAGTTTTATTTTCATTAGACTAGTGTGTCTTAAGTCTATAAAGGTGTCTAGATACATTGCCTTCATAGATAAGACACAAATTGTCAAGTTAGAAGTTTATTTGATTTCTAGTTCTTTAAAGGAGGAATAGAGTTAGAGATCAAACTCTTCTCCTACTTCTTATGAGGATTTTCGGCCCCCTCTAGTATAAATAGGGGTGCTTGGGCAGGTTTTTAAGGTTAGCTTTTGATGATTTTTTTCAATACGAACTTGAGAGGAAAACTCCTTCTTTCTTTGACCTTTTGAGGTTATTTGACTTTTTGCAAGATCTTGTATTTTGCATAAGGTAGCGAACGTGCATTCAAGGGTAGTGTCATAGCTTGTGGAGTTCTTTAGATATCATTGTAAGGGAGCACATCTATCCATCGTCGTCATAATCTTTAGGCTGGAGTTGTTAAAGTCGTCACTCTTGGGGTAGCATCAACATCACTTTTTTTCTTTTCTATCTTTCCATTCTTTTTTGTTAGAGTTTTTGTGGCTCAACCTTCTTTGTGTTTTTCGTGGTTTTTGTGTTTTTGGAGCAAAATCAAGTCCTTGAGCAAGTTTCCGCATAATTCAAGTAAAATATGTATTACCTTGCACATTAAAATTTGTTTTGCCTACAGTTGTCACTATTGACCGAATAAATTCACATCAGTAATGAAAGCATGGTTGATCGTGGCCTCATTTGTAGTGAAGCCATGATAATTTTAGCATTATTTTTTAGGACACAATGGCATGAAAGTTGCTCTTTATGAGGATATCGGACAGAATGCCTAGGATTGACATGAATGAAATCAGATTTTTAAAATTGTCTTCTTCTTTCTTTTTTCGAACTCCCAATAGCCAACAGAAGTGATTAAAAAAAAAAAACAAGTCGACTTTATTATATTAGTATTTTATTTTATAAAATGGAATATTTTTAATCAGCTAAATGATCATCAAAGATAATATGTGCACTAATTAATTTCTACTCCAATATTTTTTTTATAAATTTTAATTATGTAAAATATATTCACGATCGATATTATTTTCATAGATCTTGTTGATTATTATAAAATTACACATATCATGTTTTCTAAGTATTCTCAATATCAATAGATAAATTCATTTCAAAATTTTGAATTTTTTTCCGTAGTCAGTTTTCAGAATTTACAGAAAGCACTATTAATTTTATTTACCAAAAACTTATGAAAAGTACTTGGGATTCCACCTATCTCCGTTGAACCAGATCCATGCAATAATCGGACGGATGTTAGTAAATTTGTAATAAATTTGTAAGACGTTTTCTTTTGGTTTTTTGGGTTTTTCAGTCTAGAAAAAAATACTTTAGAGTATTTTTCACTATAAGGGAAATTCTCAATTAATTGTTTTAATGAAAGAATCTAGATAACACATGAATCTTTAACGAACCACACAAAGCAAGACTAAAACACTTTCTCTAACAAGTGATTGATCCTAATAAAAAAACACTGCGTAAAGGGTAATTGTCACTAAAAAAATTATTGTTCCAGTTTTCTAGGACGGGAGTGTGGTTAAATTAGGTTTTGCTTTCTTCTCATTTATTTATTGAACTTTAAAAAGAGTCATAAAAAATATTTGGTGCACTATATTTTGGTCTCATCTCCCGTGGAAACTGAATAATTTGTTCGACCAATTTAGTTTAGAAACGATAAGTACTTACTGATATTATCACATGTATGTAGTTATCAACATGTACATATGAAATAGATGTGACAAAAACGTAGTTGATACTTCCCTTTCCCAATTCCAAAATGACAAATACAACCAAAAACCAAATGGCAAAAAATAACCAAATAATATTAGTTACTCATGTAAACTTAGGGTTAAACAACAACTTGATTACATCATTTAGAAACTTATTAGCATGTGTCCACTTGTGACATCTCATCCATCACTTAGGATTTTCTTCTTACTACTTCTTAATTTATTAGTTCTTAGTACATGTAAATATTTTAAAACAAAAATCCATTATTCTGTCAAAGTTTTATACATATATAAGAGCACAGAGAGAGGAGAACACAATCAAAGTCCATGCATATATACATATAACAAAAACAAAAATTCAAAGGGGAACTAAATGGAGATTATGCAACAACAACCACAAGGGATAAATGGTGGCAGCAAGCGGATTGTTGCACTTGATGAAAGTCCATCACCTTTCAGCCTAGATAACATAAGCCATGCTCATGAAAAGCATGAGGTATGAACCATCTTCCCTCTTATAATTAAACTTTCTTCTTCTTTGTATTCTTAACTGCATTATTCGAAGTGTTCTTTTTTCTTCTTCTTTTTGGGTGTTTGATGCTAAACATTGTTGTCTCGCAGAAACCTGGATGGAAAAAGTTTTTGGCATATGTTGGTCCAGGTTTTCTTGTTTCTATGGCCTACCTTGATCCTGGAAATTGTAACTTCCTCTATGCTTTTTCCTTTTCCAAAATTACCCCGATAGATGGTAATAAAGATTTGAGCTTGATGAATATATGTTTATACAGTGGAAACTGATTTGCAAGCTGGTGCGAACCATGGCTATGAGGTACGTATACTAGTAACTATTTTTTTTTTCTTTTTGAGTTATTAAAAGTGTAATAATCCTCTAGAATTTATATTACTTTTTTTGCAAAAAAAAAAGGTCTATAAATAATTAATAGTATGTTTTGTATAAGTGCAGCTATTATGGATTATACTTATTGGTTTGATATTTGCCCTTATTATACAATCTCTGGCTGCAAATCTTGGTGTCACCACAGGTAAAAGAATAGTATTTGTAGGATCATGTAATTTTTTTGATAAATATTTGTTTTTCTTCCATTTTGATTCAATTTGATGATTCTTTAGAGATGCATTTATCTGAGTTATGCAAGGCTGAATATCCAAAATGTGTGAAGTACTCATTATGGGCTCTAGCAGAGATTGCTGTTATAGCTGCTGACATCCCAGAAGGTATGTAGTAACCTCTACTACTACTACTACTTCTACTACTACCACTACTACTACTACTAATACTAAAACAATTATTATTATTATTATTATTATTATTATTATTATTATATTTTGTCAATTTAATTTGTATACATAAGCCATTGCAATAATTTCATGCGTATACGACAACCATTTATTATCTTATCAATATATGAATAAGCGATCAATTGGAAGCATAGGTATGTTAAAGGTGTATGGCATATATATTTGAGTCTTCTTTCATTCTCTTACAATAGGGGCTCTCGATTTTCATTTAAAGAAACAACATGTGTTTGTCAATGATAACGCTTGGAGAATCACTCAGAATCAATATGTATACATCACAAAGTTTTGGTTTTATATTTAGGATCGAATAATGGGCGACAAATGGATCTATATTGTTTAAATTGACTACAAGTTAAAGCACAATTTGTTGTCATTTCATTCTTTTTCAATTGTCCATTTCTTTTAGCTAGGCAGGCATAAAATGGCATATTGGATTGGATTTTATTGATATTGGAATGATTCTGTTACTATCCACTAAAGAAAACACATCTACAATCAGGTTTATAAATGTAAACTTTAAAATCGTGCGATTTTATGATTCGGATTTCCGTATGAAGACCATATACATTTGGTGATTTGTCATTAACATTTTTTTTTTGTTTCTTCTAATTATTATCATGTTTTTGGCTTTTATAATATATAATAACAGTGATTGGAACAGCATTCGCACTGCAAATATTGTTTCGTATCCCACTTTGGGTCGGAGTTTTATGTACTGGAATGAGTACTCTTTTACTCCTCGGCCTGCAAAAGTATGGTGTAAGTAAAAATTTGTTTATACATGAATTACTCTTTAATGTATATTTTCGTCCCTTTTATTCTTACACTTTCCCATCTTATTAAAGTTCGATTTAAGTATAGGTCGATTTAAGTATGGCACTTATGACTCTCTAGCTACTTTTATTATCCATTTAGAGGAATTCTTTATCTTTCCTTTTTAATACTATCTTCTTATAAGAGATTAGAAGGGGTATTATTAATTTCCTTTTTTATCTTTTGCTTAATGGAGGAATGATATATATTCAACTCGGGTCAAAAAGAAGATCTCTCTATCCATACCCTAATCACAGAAAACTTTATCCCTCAATATCGTCTGTTTCTTTTTTCTTTTTGTAATTCGACTCACCACTTTATTTTCAAATTTTTTTAATAAGTTTTACATTACGATATTTTTCATATTTTCATTTTTCATCTTTTTTACAAAAAATAAAAATAATGAAAAATAATTAAACACCTATAGGATGATTAGAGATCACACAAATGTGGAAATTTCCTAATACGAAGAAACGTTTCTAGATGTTATATGGTGACGTTGCATTTATACAATTTCTCTTACCTTGTTTCGAAAGATACAAAAACGTGATTAGGTTCCCATTTGTTGATATCAATGCGTCAACTTTTTAGGACCATTTGCTGATCTAAAGGATTTTTATTTTTTACATTTCTTATCAATGCTTTAAAGTTCCCAAAGTATCATAAAAATGTTTCATTGATTTTGATAGTTCACCTTAAAACATGGTACATTAGTTAGTTGGATGTTCTAAAACTTAGGATCTTACATCATCCTAATCTGGATTTTTGCTTTAGTTTTCTTGACGGTCTGTTTTCTTCCTCTTGGATACATCAACAAACAAATAGTGGTTACGAAATGGTCAATATTGACCATCGTATACAGTATGTGGTTATGAGCTTGTCCATTTGGTGCAGTCTTATTTATTTAGATACCTAAAAATATCACTCTTGTACGTCACAATAATATTTAACGTTGTTTTGCTGAATCACTTGCGACCCGAGCTTTGCTAGTAGTGTCTTTTAATCTCACCGACTTCTTCTAGTACCAACTTGAATAACTGGTTATGCGTTGTAAATTTAATGCTTCCTTTAATTAGAACCGGAAAGAGTAATAAGTTATACTGTAAATGAAAAGAAAAATTTTTATTTACTGCTTACAATTTTAATTTATTCTTTTTCTTCATTAATTAATTATTCACTTCAAAAGAGTCCACGCACTAATTATAATGACCTGGATCTTGAAATAAATATGTAATTGAAATAATTATAGGTGAGGAAGCTAGAACTGTTGGTATCCTTGCTGGTATTTGTGATGGCTGGATGTTTCTTTGGGGAAATGAGTTATGTGAAGCCACCAGCCAAAGAAGTGCTTAAGGGTATGTTTATCCCAAAGCTTAGTGGTAAAAGCACCACTGGAGATGCCGTTGCCTTATTGGGTGCCCTAATCATGCCGTAAGTCTCAATTTAAACCCACTCTTATACATTCATCATTCGATAAACAGTACATATCTCTAATTATTAGTATTACTATTAAGCGTAACGAAACTTTTTGTGAATTTTCGTGAACGATATAACACGTCCAAAAGGTTCATAAATATGTTTACTCTTTTTTTATTTATTTAATAATAAAAATGGGTTTTAAATCTCGGTGATTACAATCCAAAATAATAAAAACGAAAATGTTGAAGGCGTTTTTATTTTGTGTTATGTTATTCTAAATATAATGAATGCCATAATTTATCTTTGACCACCTGATCAAAATGTGTGGATTGATTGTCACAATACAGGCATAACCTGTTCCTCCATTCGGCTCTTGTGCTTTCTCGAAAGATACCAGACTCTGTCCGTGGTATCCATGTAAGGATGTTTTATACAGTTCAATTCTTCCGAACAATTTTTTAATTTTTTTTATTTTGTAACTATGATTTGTGAAACAAACCATAAATTTATTTCGAATAAATCTCAAGAATCTAAACGGAACGATAATCAATTTTTATTTTTAACCATGATTAATATGAATTGTTTGCAGGATGCATGTCGATTTTTCCTTATAGAAAGTGGATTTGCACTGTTTGTGGCATTTTTAATAAATGTTGCGATTATCTCTGTTTCTGGAGCAGTTTGCTCAGCAAGAAACCCTTCCCAAGATACCATTGATTATTGCAATGATCTTACTCTCAATTCCGCGTCTCATCTCTTAAAGGTATTTGCCCTCTGTTACCCTCAAAAAAATAATAATAAGAAGAAGAAAAATACTACTACTACTACTACTACTACTACTACTACTAATAATAATAATAATAATAATAATAATACTGCAAAAATCAACTATTATTTTGAAACATATAGACTATTTGTTATGAAATTTAGTCTTTACATGTATATCCACTTGTTTTAGTTATAGCGAAAAATAATCCTTGGGGAATTTGCCCCGTCTAAAAAATGAAGAACTTTTTTTATATGATTAACAGAATGTATTGGGGAAATCAAGTTCCACTGTTTATGCCATAGCTTTGCTTGCATCTGGTCAGAGCTCAACAATTACTGGCACTTATGCTGGCCAATACATCATGCAGGTAAATGATGATTTTTAATTGTTTTTAAGCGTTTTAACACTTGGATTTTATTAGTACATCTTGTTTTACCATACTATGTCTTATTTTAATGAAAGGATTCCTATTGTAACAATAGATTAACCACATAGAATCAAAATACTTTCTTTGTTCTAAAATTTTTGTCCAGTTTGGATTTTCACTTTTAGTATAATCTAAACTAAAAATGAAAATCTAAACTGAAAAATAATTTCGGGACGGAGGGACTAACAGAAATTCAATGTACGTGTGACGGAAGATTTTGTTTCATTCGTAACGTTTTCCTTTATAGGGTTTCTTGGACCTTAAGATGAAGAAATGGACGAGGAATTTGATGACAAGGTGCATTGCGATAACACCAAGTCTCATTGTGTCTATTATTGGTGGATCTTCAGGGGCTGGCCGACTGATTATAATCGCTTCAGTTTGTCATCTAAACCAAAGCATACATAATTGGTCAATTATTTTACATTTTTCAAAGAATACATATTTATTAATCTCTTAATAAAAAGAGAAAGAAATTAATTCGTTTGTCAATGCAGATGATACTTTCTTTTGAGTTGCCATTTGCTCTCATCCCTCTTCTTAAATTTAGTAGCAGCGCCACGAAGATGGGACCACACAAGAACTCCATATATGTGAGTCTCCTTTTTTTTTTTTGGGTTCCTTTTTCACCCCCCTTTCTTGTTATTGTATAAACCAAAATTAAATTAAAGGCATTCACTTTTTATGCATGTTTCCCCACCTTTTTGGAGAATACGTTAAGAAGAATGAAGGGGTCTTGTTTTATTAGTTTGTTACTTTGTCTCCTACCATAACTGAATATATTGCTTTAAATTCTTCTTACCATTTGGCGTGTAGATAATTGTGATATCTTGGATATTGGGGCTAGGAATTATTGGCATCAACATTTACTACCTCAGCACAAGCTTTGTTGATTGGATAATCCACAACAATTTGCCAAAAGTAGGCAATGTGTTCATTGGGATTTTGGTTTTCCCCTTGATGGCAGTCTACATTCTTGCCGTAGCTTATCTTATGTTTCGGAAAGACTCGGTAGATACTTTCAAAGAGTCACAAAAATGCAATCCGATTGCTGAAATTCAAATGGTGGAAGAAGGAACAGCTCCAAATAATCCAGACCATGTTGATAAAGTTCCTTATAGAGAGGATTTGGCTGACATCCCTTTTCCAGAATGAAGGGTTTTCTTCTTCCTTGTGTATTACTACTATCTAGCCCGGAGCATTTTATGTTTGTATTTTGGACTCCAAATCCCAATGTACTAAATTGTACAATTAATGGCAGTGGAATTATGCTTTATATCTCATGTTGTTTGTACCCTTCTTGTACAAGGATAAATTCGTGTAGAAATCTGCGAATGCACAATTTTCCGTTCAAACTGAATACCCACATACTGCATTCATACACAGAATGAATGACCGAATTAGACACACTTACATACACAGTTACACACTATTGAATTCTCCATCAATCGTTCATCAAAGTTTGGACAGCAGGAACTACAACGATCACTCACCATGACAATAATGAAAATCAACCATGTGAAAAAAAAAAAAAAAGTTCAAAAATTCGAAATAGTTCTTTGTGGTGATTGGGGTGTTGTATCAAACATCCTTACAAGATGAATTTAAACCAGTTCCTTTTCTGCATTTTCGAACTAATTTCATAAATAGATCCAGATCTCATTGTTGGGACAAAAATGAAACAGAACTCTACGATCAATAACTTACTAAGAGAGCTAAAGGCTAACTGTCTCATGTTAAAATCGTAAAAAGGCATTGTTATATAAACAAAGAGATGAGTCGACCTAACTGCCGGGAGAGTCTGTGCAGAATGCCTGGTTCATCCAAATTACAAAATCAGCTGCATTGCCTTCCTCCATACCTTGCCTATTGAGTAACATGCAGAGGCAGTATGCACAAGATTATCACAATTACTCTCCCACCATCTTGGTCTGGGGATAGCCCAAACAATCAGAAGCGACAAAGAAGCTAGAGAGTTTAACATTCAACCCAAACCAGATTTAGAACCGGATAGAGGTCTCAGCATAGCATGATTAAGAGCAGCATGTGGATTTGCGGGAGAGTTGAAGATCATATTAGGAGGAGTTGAGGAAGATGGGTTTATGGCTGAGAGAGGCAACCTTGGGCCAAGTCCATACATAGACTGTTGTGGCGAGATGAGTGACATGTGTGGATGCATTGCTTGATTACTGCTAAAACCAGAAATGAATGGCTGCGGAGCATTCGGAATAACTTGTTGACGATTATTGCCAAAATTGCCATGAATCATGGTGGGGCTCACGTTCTGTGGGCCCAAAGGCCGAGCTAGTCCAGGAGATCCAACTTGTGATGACCCCATAAGAGCACGTTCTGAGGCAATCCTTTGCCTTGTCCTTTCCATTTGCTCACATTCTCTCATCAGCAAGGTCTCCACTTCAGCAAACTGCTTCAGCTTCAGCTCTAATCTTTTCAACTGAATTATATGGATGAACCACTAAGAGTTACAAAACTGACTCCCAAATTTGGCTATTTATATAACTACGTTTAACATCCATTCAGCACAACAATGGCTCTAAGATCCAGGGAAACTAGCAACAGAAAGTAATTCACATTGCGAGCCATGCCACAAATAGTCAATATCAACAGACTACTAAAAGTGGAAGACAATGAGCCAAAAAAACACCATGTAGAACTGACATGGATCATATGTAGGCTTTGTAGTCTATTAAAGATTTGTTCTTTTAACATGATTTCCTGATAAATCATTTGTTCTTTTAACAATCAGTACCAATCTTTAAATATTTTCTCCTTCACCTTTGAAAATGAGTTTAATGATTCTACAATTACATATTCAACTTAGACTACAAAGAGTACGTAAAATGGTTTCCAATGCCACTTCTCAAATCATCAAGCAAAGTTTTCCACTTTAATTTATTAATGCTACCCCGGACATTTCTCATTAGTGCATTCTTAGTCCTATCTCTATAGTACAGCCGCAGATACATTTTATGCTTCCAAGAATACACCAAAGGACACAGGTAATACTTGTAGAGGTAGAGAAAACTTCAAATGCTCACACGAAACTAGAACGCTCTCCACACTGATAGATTAAACTTTATACCAACACAGAACAGCAGCTACCTGTACTTCAAGAATTTCATCCGAGTATTTTCAAGTATCGACAAAAGTTTTTATCCGAAACCCAATTTTGGTGAAAATTACAGCAAGATGAAGAAATCACTACAGCTTGTATACAACCTGTTGAGAAGAATTTATTGTACAAATATAGATATGTGAAGTGGATTGTTACACACATTCAAGACAGTAACTCTATCAAGATATTCAAAAATGGGACTTTCATTTGCCAAAGCCAAATATTCTAAGATTAACTTGAAACATGTTTTCTGAGAAGAAGGGATCCCATTATAGCTCTTCAAAAGATTTGCACTCCAATCAACAGAACATGAAATTATTAAAGGGATAATTAGCTGATTGAGATGTTGGAAAAACATTTGTGTAGGATTTAGTTCAGATTTAGCGCCTATGGGTACAGAGATATTAGAAAGCTTTAATTTAATCATATTTCTTCAGTGTGCATTCAATCTAATATCTACATGAGAAAAAACATCATCAAGAAAAAGGCGTATGTGTGTAGTTATGTTTAGCAAAGGAACAAAGAATCAATATGACATGGTCCTAAACTGTTTAGAAAAACAAAAATAAAATAAACAAAAAGAGAAAAATGAAGCCTTCTCCATGGTTCTTCCTCCCCCAACTATAACTATCCTGAATTCATTTACTTCTTTCTTACCCTTTTTCACAGTACAGAAGTTACTAAACACAGCCCTTTCAAACAGTCCCCAGAAGCCTGGTGATAAGGACAAGTAGTAACCTACAAGGTGTTTGACCAATAATCTATTTACCGTAATTGTTTGCATATCCACGAGATTAACAGTCTCATGGAGAATCTTTGCCAAGAATATATAAATGAGACTCGGGAAGTTTCAGATTTATCTGTAGGTTGATCTTCTACAGTTGAACAATGAAAACTACAGATTCTTGGCTATGGCAAACTAAAAAAAAATATATTCTTCCCATTACCAGCTTCTGTAGTATGCACTTGGAAAATAACATTAAAGAGTCTAATAAGTAACAAAAGATACCTTTCCCCAAACTGATCAAGTTACTTTTCAGATTTATCTCCAGGTACAAGATGAAAACTACAAATTCTTGGCTCTGGCAGACTAAAAATGTAGGTTTATTGGCTGCGGCAGACCAAACATAATCTTACGAATGAAGCTATAAAACTAGAGCACAGGCACATATAAGAACAACAATTGACAACCACAACATTCTTCTCATGCCATTTCTTTCTTCATCAGAACCTTCTCTAACCATAAAATTAACGAACTTTAAGTTCAACATTTTTAACCGAAAGATATTTCCCGAAGTGATATTGTTGCACCAGTTCAATGGGTAACTTTACACATGGAAAAGGGAAGCAAGCAAAATTTCATATACTAAAAAACTGTTAAATGCCATCAAATTTCTACTTAGCATGTGTGATAAGACAACCAGGAGTTATAATTCAGATGCAGAATCGCAGCAAGCTAAAATGAGAGTCCCCTACAAAAATATAGGCTGATTCTTCAATAAAAAAGAAAGGCCGTACTTTAGCTATACTGAGAGAAGAAGAAAACAGTTCCACATATTAGAGACGAACAACAAAAAGCTAACAGCAAATTATTCTTTTAATCAAAGCATTCAGGTGATCCACTGACAATTACCTGGTGATTAACAATATTTGCTGATAACCTTTGAATTTCACGTTCCTCATGATCAGCAAAGAGCTTTGCCTTTGTGGCAGCAGCAAAGAGACCATCCTTTGCAGCAGTCCTCACTTTTTCAGCAGATAATTCAGTAGCATCTGCATCATTTTATAAAATCTCCATTATATAAAGAATGGAAGAGGAAGCTTTCACAACAAATTTCACAGCACACCTTTCTGCTGGCCTGAATTAACGTGTTTCCCATGGGAGCCACCTTCCATACCCATCCTTCAGTAGGAAATTAATAAAGTTAAAGATTGCCCAAATGCAAAATTAAAAAAATGAACAGTTGGACCAGAAAGCATTGAAGAAACTCTTTCGGCACAAGAAAGATTTTAGAGAATGCACATAGAGTTTCCTTCAAACTAAGAGAAACCCCTTTAGGTTATTTCCAGATTAATGAGTCTGTCACTATATAAAATACCCAGAAAAGTAATCTGAAAAACTAGAATAGAAATTCCAAAGGGAAAAGTCAATTGGGGAATCTGACATATGCGCAATCACGAAATGCTAATTAAAGAAAGCATATAGTCGACTTAATATCTCACATTGATCCATCCATCTGCAGAGAATTTCTCGGCGTAACTGAAGTATCATCCTTAGATAATGAAGCTAATGATGCATGGGCACAAGCTGCAGCAACTCTCGGCCCCACGGCAGAAGCCAGAAAAGCAACCTAAGATTTTTCAAGAGCAAAGTTTCAGGAAAATACAAGTGATATGAAACATCAATAGTTTGAAACAGGTCCTCAGAGTTGAAGAATAGATGATTATGGGCAGTACATATTGTCAACAAACAGTCAATAAACATAAAACTTGAATACAAGAATAATTAATCAAATGAATGGCCACTTCAAAACACAGATGAACTGAGAAATACAGAAAATATTACAGCGTACACACTTTCAACCAGATACCAATGTGTCTTAAAAGATTTCATAATCTTAAAATTTCAGTACCTTCATTTTATTTTATTCCACGACAAAAAACTTTCCCAAGCAAGCTAACACCTGGTTCCATTGAAACATTTCTCCATTTATCATTTTAATCTAAACACAAAACTTAAAGTTGTTTTCGTTATCTCGAGCAGCAGGGTCAATGCAGCAGAAAGTAAATGACACAGAGCCACATTAGCAAAGCTATTAACCTGGTGAAACAGACATGGAAGTTTTGACCCAAAATAGCAACACAAAAACTTGGGAAATATCCAAAAATAAACATAAACATGAAACAAAAGGGTCAATGCAGCAGAAAGTAAATGACACAGAGCCACAGTAGCAAAGCTATTAACCTGGTGAAACAGACATGGAAGTTTTGACCCAAAATAGCAACACAAAAACATGGGAAATATCCAAAAATAAACATAAACATGAAACAAAAGGAAAAGAAAGCCTTTCATGGCCTGAAGACAACATCTCCATCGACAGTAAAATACCACGAGTCAACTTAAATGCTTTCTTGGGATAGGCAGGTAATAATTATACATGCGAATTTTCATTCAACTGACAATCTTTTTGGGGAGTTCTAAATTAAATTCTGACATTAAAAAAATAATTAACAAAGAAGGAAATGAAGAAATGAAACAAAACAAACAAAAAGGGTCAACCAACTGCCAGCCCTTGTCAGGAGGAACACAAGGCCTCCATTATGCCACTGCTACAAATGTTATACAAAAAAATGAGTTAATGGAACTGAAATGGGAAAAACATGATGACCTAAAAGCTACAATGGAATTTAGTATGTAAGAACTCCTGTAAAGGGCTGCTGTTTATGCAATTCTTAGAAATTTTTACTTATCATATGCAATTCTTGTTTGCTTGATCTTTCTTTCTGCAACCTGCAATCATTTGCTTGAGGAATTTCTCACACTTCATTCACTTGTTAGTAGAACTGAAATTTCTAGATTTTTCCAACTCTAACCATCAGGATGTGAGAGCTTCAGATCAAGCCCGATTAACCAGGTACAAATTAACATTATAACTTTTAGTTTTTTTTTTTAATCCATTTTTCTTCCCGTTCTTGCAAGTGACAGATTGTTAAAAATATCCAGTATCATGACTCCACCCTTCAAAGGATGATATTAAAAGTCTGAGACAAATTTGCAAGGATTGGAAACCCTGAAATTATCAGCAAAACCAAGACGAGTTCTTCCTTTCAGCATCCGACTTAGCAGGCTATTTTAAACCAACCAAAACTAAAAATATAAAAGAAAGAAAACATGCAAACGAGAAATCCTTTTTAACACAGACATTTTAGCTGCAAAAATGCAATTAGAGTTCAGTCAAAAAAGTGAAGGTAAGAAATAATTGATCAGCAACTAAAATTTTAACAAAGTTGAAGATTCCACAAGGCCCGTTAAGAGTCCTGGAGTATAAAATCAAAAGCAATGAACTACACATTATAATAGTTGACTCGGTTATCACAGGTAAAGAAGTCCAATACACGCATCAGCGTTGTCTAAACATGTATAACATCACTCCTATTGCAGAAGGATGTGCATTTTTATCAGCTAACTATCAAAAAAGTTATCAGGACGAATACCTAAGAGTTCCCTTGCAATACCAAACAGAATATTTTATCCTTATGTTTCAGCGATTCATTCACTTTGAAACCCAAACCAAGCAGGAACAAGTCAACACCTTTAACGAGCACCTATTTTGACTAGTGTTCTAAGATCAAATTACCAAGGGATTAGAAAATTAATCGAAGCCCATCTATACTGCTGGAACAGCCCAGTAAGTCTCATTTTGCATCACAATTCATTAATTTGAAAATTATTTATAATCAAACCCAAAGTATTACTAAAATCTTTCGATGCATAAAACATTGTAAAACTAAACAGTGTGATTAAAATTTAGTATTCCGCAATCGTACAAGATCTTGTGGACTTCATTGCATCAATACATTAAAAACATAGGTACTTACAAACCAGCCAAAATTCAAAAAGAGACTGTATTGTCTTTTCTCTCAAATAAAGTTTTATATTGACAACTTTTTGCAAGTTTCAAGGTACAACACATAAAATAAGATTTTTATCACATCTTTTAAACATTACACTTCTTAGTACAGAAAATACAAAATCATATTAGTGAGGAAATCAAAATGAATATAAGACAGAAACCTGACTCTTTCCCCAGAACAAAGAGTAAGCACAAATATACGAGTCTAACAAGACAAAAGAAGTGATTCAGATCAGGAAAAAAGTTGATGATCGAATGCAATTAGGGTGCAAAAACTTAATTCTTTACGCTAATTCAGAACTTCAGAACAAGCACTAGCAACACCAATATCCAAGTAGATAGATTGCTTATAGATCCAAACACCTACCAGTGCCATCACAGGATTACCACAATTTGCAAAAGGAAATTTGCTTTCTGAATCAGGGTCTTGCGAATCGCATGCTGCAGCAACAGTGTGGTGCAGATGGTGAATATTTGACAAAAAAAAATAAAAAATAGATAAATAAATAAATAAAATATCAAGTGAGATATATAGGACAGGAAGTCTGCAGCAAGCTACCTGCACGAGATCTTGCGTGCAATGGCACACATTTCTCTCCGTTTTGTAGACTGGACATGTTCTTGAAGCTTGGGACTTCAATATTGTCCAACGGGATACCATCGACTGGCAAACGGACAAAATGAAGGATGCATTGAGCCTTTGACTTTGTGCCCACATGCTCTGCAACTTCATTCCAGTTTTCATTATAAAGTTGCATTCCTTCGAGGAGAAGTAGGGTTTCCTGGTCAGTCCAACTTTCTCCATCCAGACCTGCATATCCTTCGAGAGAATTGACCTTTACAAAATCAAGGCTAGAATGACCCGCAACAAATCTTCCATCATGGAAGCAATCAATACAAAGTAGCACATCCACCTACAAATGAAAATAATTGAACATAAAAGTTAGACACACCACCATGTCAAATAATCAAAGCTATAAACTGCTCCCCACTTTGTGGTTTATTTTCACTAATCATTAAATAAAAGATGTGAATAGATAGGACAATGGCAAAGTGCCCAATTCATTTCACGAGCACCGTTGAAGAAAAGAGAAATCACCCGTTGAAAAATTAGTACTAATTAAAACAATGATACAGTACACGCACGCAAGGGAAACTTCATTTAATCAGCACAAACAGGGAAAGCTCTAGACTTGTGACCTCATTCCTTATCACAACAGGACACACACTCAATCTTCCATGTTGCGACTGGCTGCAACCAAGGTAGTGTAACTTCTTTCTCCAAGCTAAACCACTTATTACTTCCTTTATCAGTGAATCGTCATCCTGGAATCTAATGAGCCAATATACCTTTACGAAGCTAAGTTAACCGATGGAAGCAATAATGATGAGCTAGGTGACCTTAGTGCAATACTACTCTACTTGACACTAAATTTCTCAGTCTTTTCAAAGCAATTAAAATGGAAGCTAATTTTGGAACATAACCACAAAAGTAAACCTAGTAACAGATCTAATGACCTTATTCCTTATCACAACAGGACAAACGAACTCAATCTTCCATGTTGAGACTCGCTGCAGTCAAGTCAAATTTTTTCCTCCAAGCCAAATACTATCTATTACTTCCTTCATCTGTGAGTCCTCTCATATAACCTTTCACTAAGCTAAGTTAATCGACGGATAATGATTACTTTGGTAACCTTGATTATACTACTCTTCTTGACCCTAGATTTCATTCTTTTCAAAGTACTTAAAATGAAACCTAATTTTGGAACATAAACACGTGTCAAAACAATAGGTGTAATGAAACAGCATCCAGGAGAATTAAATCCAGTCAACCCAATTAGTACTTCCAATATATAAAGAACTATTGCAATATGGTTTAACATTGGCTATAAGTTACAATGATGGAAACAAGGAGGAGCACAAGGACAATCATAATAAAAGACTTCCTATTTGTAGCCAAGCTACTTCAGAGCTCAAAGAAGAAAGCAACAGTTTCATTGAATTACTAATTCTTCATCAAATCTTTAACACGAAAATTGGAATTTTTAATCCCAGTAATATTTAGCTTCTAGGTGTCATGGGTATTATTGCAGAAATTCACCAAATTCACATTTTCCCATTTGAATTGTGTTCCTAAAGTGCATTCAAACCAGTGATACCATTTGGCAATTTAGTCTAGGTAGAGAAAGCAAAGGATCTATTCCAATATGTTTCTAATTTTGTGGTCTGTATAGCTTAACTCCCCTTACGAGGAGATCCCACATTTCAGTTAAAAGAAAGAAAACCTCATTGAAAGATTAGATGATGCAACTTCGTGGTTAGGGTGTGATATGTAAAGTTCCCTAGGCAATACCTAGAAAACTATACAGTTTCCCAGCACCAATTACCCAAAGTATCAGTTCCCTTATGCTTAAATTCAATAGTTCTGTCAACCTAAAACCCTAAATAGAGTGTCTAAGATAAGCTCTGGTTTAAAAAGCCATTCGCTGTACCACACAGGCAAACAAGAGAGTGGAGAACAAAAACCCAAAATAGTGTGTCTACGATCAGCTCTGGTTAAAAGAAAAACCATCCAGAGATACCTCAACATATTGGGATCAATTCACAAAAAGTGCTTTTTAAAAACCAAAGATGCAGAACCAGTGGATCAGCAGAGCAGATTGTGAATACAAATTTCCTTTTTTTGGTATGGTGAAGTGCAGTATGAACAATAGCAAAAAAAAAAATGAGGACAAAGAAAAGGAAATATTTTGAACACTCGATTACTGGAGTCTGAAGCAGAAATGTATACACCTGTAGATACCACGCAATAGGGATTGAACAGTATACAGTTATGAGTATTGTCGTAACGTTAATTCATAGGAACCTAATAAGCATCTTACCCCAAAAAATAAACAGGAATCTAATATCATCCCCAAGACTCCTACATCTCACCCAAAAGAGTACACCGTTCTGTGTGTCAAAAGGTTCTCTGCATACTTAACTGAAAGTTCCAGTTTTAACAATTACTTTTGATGATATGAGAAAACAGAACGTTCAAATTTCCTTTGAACCATGTTAGAAATTAACTCGATACCACGTCATCTAGCATCAACATGGGGCCATGAAATGCCAAGTCATGTAATTGTAACCTAATTATAATTACTACCAAAAAGTAAGAAAGGCACAGTTGTACAAGACACCAAAAGAAAATAAAAACAGGTGAACAAGTACCTCCTTCTGTGACTGGTAGTATACTGTCGGAGTGGGCCGAGAACAATAATTACATCTCGTTTCAGATAAGTATTCTCGAATTTTGCTGTCAAAATCCGTATCTTCATCTTGTTGACATTCTAGATCAGGATATATTTCAGATGCCTTTAGCCTACATTTTGGCTTGTCAAATTGGACCAAGCTATCAATCGTTTTTAGAGCAGCAACAGGGACATTGAGGTCACCATTTGGATCCTCACGCAAATATGTCTCATCCTTCTGGTTATCACGACTGGAACTAGCCGCGCAATAATTAATGATACCCCAGTGGTCAAGAAACCGCAAAATACGAGTAATGTCATCAATACTGATGCTAGCAATGAAACCCCTACAATCTGTAAGAGACAATGCCTTCTCTGGATTCTCCATGTACTTGGCAACAATGCAGTTCCGACACTCAATATATTTTTCAGGGGTATGATCTGCTGACTTTCCAGAGAAGAAATGAGGCACAACCTGCCTCTCCAGTCTGTGCACCGAATCGGGTGAAAACCAATCTGCTTGGAATAGAAACTAATATGAGAAACTCAAGTATACCAGGTAAACATTTTATCTATAGGCAGTTAAAAATGCAAAAAATACTAAACCAAAATTTCATACAAAAACAACAAAGAGATCCGTATTCACTAATACATATCAGAAGATGGTTTGATACCCCTCTTATCTTAGAAATGAACTGGGTCAAATGTAAGTGAAGTTCATCAATCTTGAGAACAACATTCCTAAAAGACTCGTGAACACATTCAGACGACTCATTTAGCATAGTTTAAGTAGCCTAAGAAACAGTAGTTGTTCAGCAAAAGGATAATTGTATATGTTGAACGCCCCTTGTATCATCTCACACATTCAAAACAGTTTTCATTGCAATTATTACACATAGCCGGACTTTGTAAAATAAAAATCCTTGAGATCATACAAATGCACAAAACCTACGCGCTTACATTAAAGAGCAACAGCAATATCAAACAGAGTAGAAAAACACCAAAAATCATTCTTAGTTTTCTCAGTATAGCTCTTTCATGAGAGAAACAAGCAATAACTCAGTAATCTAAAGCAAACCAATGCACTCTCTTAAGCAGTGAAGCATTAAATTTAACCCATAATGAGAATGAACAAAGTTACAAGCACAAAGACTTAAGACGCAAACCTGCATGACATGGCACAACATGCACCCTTTCAGCACTGCCAAACTTCTTAATCACCCCTTTACCCTTCATAATCTGAGGTGGCGATATCACATACGATCCACTGCCACTCCCGCTCTCCTCAGCCAATGCAGAGGAATCAGCTGGCACAGAAGACAAGGCCTGTAGTTGCCCATGGGAAATATTCTCCAGAAAGATTCCACTTTGCCCCGGCCCTCTACTTTCCCCCATATTCCCAGCCTTCTCCATGGCCACCACCGATAGCACCGAAGAATGGGGCCGGTACACGGAGCGCTTCACCACGATAGGGAAACTACTAACTCGTTCCCCATCTTCAGACACGGCTTCGCTCTCCCTAACCTGAACCGTCCGTTCCATGGAAAAGTTACTAGGGTTTTGACCATTGCCAACATTCTCATCCTCGATAAGCTCTTCATCGTCTTCATCGTCGTCTTCCAAACCATCGTCGTCCTGGGCAGATTGAGGAGCTTTCAATTTTCTCGAAATTTGGGGCTCCCGTCTCCGCTTCTTCCACCTCCTCGCCTCTGCCAATTTTCAAAACCATTCTTAAGAAAATTTACAAACTTCAAGAAGAATGTGAATCGAAACAAAAACAGAATCATTAAACAGATAAATTGCGAAATCAAATCCATAGATAGTGATGCTAAACCTGAGGAGGAAGCAGGCATTGCTGGAAGAGAAATTGAGGTTTAAGGAGGAGTTTTTTATGGTCGGAACAATTACAACAAGAGTCAAAAGAGGAGTGAAGTGAAAGGGTTTTCTTCGATGAGGTTTAGCGTATGGAAGAGGTGAAATTGAAGTTTCCGAAGAGATGATGCGTTCTCCGGGAACTGAGATTACAGGCGGATTTGCAACCGGAGAATGATGGCGATTGTCATAGGCCGTCAGCAACGGAGGGTGTCATAATAAGGAAAATTTTGCTATCGGACGATTTTTAACGTATATATTAACCCAAAAAAAGAAAAAGAATATCAATTAGAAAAATAATATATATATATAGTGAAAAAAAAATAGTGACAAAAAAGTGACTGCTGTGGAGTGATTATGGTTTTTTTTTTTTGTCACTTTCTTGTTGAAATTTTATTTTTCTCCTTTTAATTATCTTTTTACCTTTAATTAATAAATAAACATATATATAGTGATTGTGGTGTAAATATATTTTCATTAGCCATTATCCAAATTCACTATTTTTTGACACTATACCTATCATTGCTCTACAAATTAATAGCCAATTAATAATGACAAAGTGACAAATTTTTTTATATTTTCATTTTTTGAAAGACTATTCATCTATAATTATTAATTCAAATGTTTATTTTGGTAATATTTAGCTGGAATTGCTCTCCACGATTTTGTTTGTAACTTTTTTTGTCTAATTCGATGTCAAGTCAATAAGTCTATTTTCGCATTAAAATAATACTATTAATTTTGCAAAAGATGTAATATCTTTTCTTTTGGTACAATGAAGGAGGTGAAAGCCTAAAGTATTAGAATACTAAACTATTATATTTCGTGGATTGAAAAACTTGACAAAATTATATTCCAATCCAATTCCAACACATAAACTACACAATGACGTGAATAATACTATCTCCTTACAAACTCTCAACTTTCCCTAGTCTTGCAAGTTCCATAATTCAAATGGCGCAACCACAATTAAGAAATCATCATATTCAGTACTCATATGAAGAATTAGAAGAGTAGAGAATTGGGACAGTAGATCTGAACTTCATCCTTTCATCTATGGCTTCATCACCATCAACTGGACTACCTTCACTTCTCCATTTAGCTAACGGTTCCCCTAAAAAAGGATTTTGTCGCCGACGGACATTGTTGTCATCAATCATTAGATCTTTTCCTAATCAAATTCAAGCAGTTGTGACCATATAGAGTCCAACTCATGCATCGTCAGATTAGGACAGACCAAAAAATATAATATCAAATAAAATTATAACATAAATATTAGATTAGTAAAAATTGAAATCACGAAAATAATAAACAATATTGAATTAAAAAATTCTTTTATAAAAAAATTAAAAAAGTTAATTTATTTTAATCTTAACTCATCACTGCAAAATTTTATCTTATGTGCTATTTAACCGAATTAAACTTAAACACCCATTATTTAACCAATCAAATTAGGATTTTAATTTCATCTTCTTTCTAGTGAAACCACAATCTATCCCGCGACAATCACCAAAAATTATTGAGCCATAAGTAAAACAAAAAAAAAAAAAATTGAGGTTGACTTTTACATTGTTTTCTAAAATGATCAGGTGTACTGATGTTTTAGATCAAAATCGGATTTGAGGGAGAATAATTAAGAAAAAAAATGAATTTATATTTTGATTGGGGTAAAATGGCAAAACAAGGTTAAAAAAATCAGCGAAAAAAAAGTAAAAATAATGATTTTTGAAGGTTGAACTTTTTCTAAAGAAAGTTAATATTTCTGGTTGATTCATTGGTTTATCTGATCTTTCTACCTAAAATTATTTTCTAGCAATCGTTATGGCTTAGATCATATGAAAAACTGAAGTGAAATTAGGCATATGCATGGTTCTGAAACCAGCAATTTCGATTCCAGAACCAGAGATTCTAAAATCATAATTATGAGAATCAATTTAGAAGGTTAAATAATAGGTGTCTAAGATAGTTTTATTGGGATAAATACCATATAAGATGAAAATTCCACAATGACATAACAGGGTTTACAAAAACTGGCTGAAAAAGCATAAAAAAAGATAATGTTGATTTTTTTAAAAAATAGTATGTTATTAATTTAATAGTTTTTATTATTTTTGCAAATTTAATATTGTTTTATTTATTTTTAGACTTTTTAGAAAATAAATCTTTTTATTCCAAGTATAAATAGTACCAAAGGACCAAAAAAGTTATAATAAAAATGTAAAAGACAGTTTCAGCTAAATGTTATTATGGAGGACAAAAATGTGTATTTGATCTAATATAGAGTACTAGTCTCAGAATGTAGTCTTTTTAAAATAATGATGTAGTTACAAATTTTCTAATCAAAGGAAAAGCATAACGGCTTTTTCTTTTCTTTTTTTTAGTATTATTTCATGGCTAATTACAATTTTCTAATCAAAGGAAAAGTATAATGGCTTTTTCTTTTCTTTTTTTTTAGTATTATTTCATGGCTAATTTTAGGATAAATCACCCTATTAAAAATATTGTTTCATCCACAAAAAATATATACTACTAGTACAACTTTTACACTTCATAGAATATAAATAACGAGAAGTATGTGATGTTGTAATTAATTGACTTAGTTTTCATATACTATAGCTGTTTGACCCCAAAAATATGTATTTTTGGTTTAACAAGAATTGGAGTTAGGTTTGGATTGGAAAGCTTCATGTGATAGCCAGATTCATGCAAAGAGGTTGATTAATTGGTTTTCGTCCTTATCCTACACTCAACAAAGTTTTTGTAGACTAATATGGACTTAATACATGGGTTAGTATCCTATTTCAAATGGAGTTTGGCCAACATATTTATCATCACGTGAATTCACTATTTCTTCTCCAAATAAGTAGGAAAAATTGGACTTGGAGTCTAATTCTTCTCAAAGCTACGGGCAACTTCCCCTATAAAAGGCAGCCTAGAACATCATCAAAGACACACACCTCAAATCATCAAATCATTAAGTTTTTCATTTTCTTTCCTTTTTAGTCTTTTTACTTCATGTCTTTTATTATGTTTTCCTAGATGTAGCTTCACATAGATAGGTGTTTGCCTATTTTCATTCAAAGAAATAAGTAGTAGTTCATGGATTCTACCTCAGTGAATTCGGTCTTTCTCTGTAATAGTGTTTCATCGACTAGATATTCCCTGTCGGTGATAGGCATTCTTGTTGGCACTAACATCTTTCTGGTTTGTGTCATAGCGTGTCATCGGCTATGTCTAGTCGACGCTAATATCTTTGTTTTTTTCCATGTAATAGCGTGTCATTGGCATCACCTATAGTTTATCGGCACTAGGGTTTTTTCCACTATTAAGAATTAAAGCCGTTAGGCTCGTTTTTCCCGCATCTTTTTATTCTCTTTTCTTTTTATTTACAAACCAAAGCTAACCCTAAGCCCTCGATTCTAGGTCCAAGGCAGGTTTTGAACTCATCCACAATTGCTTGATTTTGTATGTTTTAGAAACTTTTGCCCCCTTCTTTCTCACGGTTTAGGGTGATTTTTTTGGTACAAACAGTTACTAATCGAGCTTTGGGAATATATTTTGGCATTTTCTTTCAAATTGCTTTGAACTTAGTAGAGTATCTTCCCAATCTCACCAATTTCTGTCCAAGAAATGGTCTCCGATCCTCTATATCGTTTCTGTTTCCTTTGAAGTTGGAATAGAGACATCAAGAAAGAGTTTCTCAAGTTTTGGGTAACAACCTAAGAGATAATCAGTGGGTTCAACATCTGTGCAGTCGACAAATAATAAGCTGCACCTGGCAACACTTTGCAAGTTGTACCTCATGGGCATGTGCAATACACTCTCATTCTACACAAGTTGATTTTTTTCCCTAAATTTCAGCTACACACGCACCTATTTTTTAGCACACGTTTCTTTTGAAATATTTTCTATTTAGCAATGGAATCCGGAGAATCAAGCGTCAAAATTCAGAATATTTTAATGGATAACGATGTTTGTTTGGATGAATAATGGTATACTTATCGATGAATAATGATAATATTGTGGATGCATAATTGTATTCTTATAGCGACAAAGTTATGGATGGGTAAATTTAAAATTTGAAATGAATAAAGTTATTCACAAAGATGAATAAGAATTGAAATCTTGACTAAAATGATCCCTTCCTAGATAAATAACAATACTAAAATGAAGAATAGATGTAGTTTTACTAGATGAATAATTGTATTTTAATAAATGAATAATATATCATTAGTAGATGAATACTGCGCAACAGAATGAATAACTTTGATCAAGAAAACTAACAAGAGTATATTTTACAATGAATTAATGTGAGCAACTACACTAACAAACTTCTAATTATGTATTATACTAGACCAAAATTCAACAAAAAACTAGTCATTGCTTTTAACTTATAAGGTCTTGAAGGATTCGCCCATACTCGATAGTTTATGTTGATTGTTTGATTTTGCAACTTTGCCAAATATTTAATTCCCGACCGATCGAGTTCATTTTGATGAGCATTTCTTTGTCGTTGATCAAACAAATAAAACATTACAACTAATGAGATTTCATATTCAATCAAAACTCTGTTTTGACTAAAATATTGACTAATTGATAATAATTTAAACGATTGGTAACCATCAAACCTAATCCACTAAACATTGGGTTGGGTTATAGTATACAACATAATCCACAACACACTTCTGCAAAGTACATATTAAATGATGAATAATCATGACAAGGAAAAAATCAATCCAAAAGAATTACATAAATTTAATCCAGTTAACACAAAATACACGATAAATAACCGTGTTACTGGAGATGAATAATCATATCAAAAAGGATTAAAAAACCATCTAAGTTACATAAACCTAATCCATTTAACAACAATCGTGTACAAACACATATTAGATGATTTTGAGTTAATTAAGCATTTATATTTTTTTGGGCGCTTGTATCTCATGTAAATGGTAATTTTCGCAAATGACTGTAAATGAGGAAAATCTGGGCGCTTGTGAGCCACATTAAGAATACCTTGTAAGGTGTTCCTAGGTATTGTATATTATAATTGGTACTAGATATTTGGCCCATGCAAATGCCTAGGTGGCCACCTGCTATTTAAGAAAGTGTGAAAAAATAAATTATAGGCCTCCTTGCGATTTAAGTCAGTTTCAAAAAAAAAAAAATTATATGACAAAATTGATACATTTTATAATAATATGCATAATTCGGTCAATATTCGGGACATTAACTAAAGTTGATACACTTATGTATATAAAAAAAACATGTCAAAATATTACAATTACCTTTCTTTTCTCTACCAACGGATCTGAACCCGACGATTCACTGTATGGATTCGAACTGCTGATCTAAATCGCCAAGCGGAGGTTTGGAGAATTTCAAACGAGATTCATCCGGTTGATTTTTGGACTGCAGATCTAAATCAGAGGTTTTGAGAATCGGTGGAATGGAGATTTGTAGAGCAGTGATTTGAGGAACGACAAAGAAATACAGAAATAATTGAGCATTTATATTTTTTTAGGCACGTGGATATCATGTAAATGGCAATTTTTGCAAATGATTGTAAATGAAGAAAATCTAGGCGCTTGTGAGCCACATTAGGAATACCTTATAAGGTGTTCCTAGGTACTGTATATTATAATTCGTACTAGATGCTTTGCTTAGGCGAATGCTTGGGCGGCCCCCTGCTATTTAAGAAAGTATGAAAAAAAAAATTATAGGTCTCCTTCCGATTTGAGTCAGCTTCAAAAAACATAATAAATTATAGGACAAATTTGATACATTTTATAATAATATGCATAATTCGGTCGATATTCGGGACACTAACTAAAGTTGATAAGAAAAAAAACATGTCAAAATATTACAATTACCGTACAACTACAATTTATGCATTGATTATATTATGTGTGTATGTTATGATAACAAATGTCAAAGCAAATTAACCAAATAACTGTACTTATTTGATCCTTTTTTAGACAGATTCTCCTCAAATTCATTCAACTTACAAATCATAATAAAATTACAAAATAATAAATTAGAAACTTTCAAGTCTCAGTATACACTAAAACCTCGAAATCTTAGACAAAGAAATCAACAACACATGTGACATTGGCTATAAGCACAAAAGACCACAAAATAAATGGAAACATATACTACCAAATAAGAGAATAGCCATCCCAGGACTCTAATGAATTTCCGAGTAGATTCGTGTCCTCAGTGATTACTGTCCTTGTAGCTAATCCAGGTATATATAAACAAATAACCTTCTGAACTTCAACAGTAGTAGTTCATAATCCAAGCTTTTCGCCACAAAACCAGTAACTATACAAAAAGGATATTTCATATCCACTCATCTTTCAGCATGCTCGAACATTCTTCTTGATGATCTTGCGAATTTTCAAGAGAGATAATCTTTGCATTGTCCTTGTAGCCTTTCAAATCTGATTTCCAAACCCAAACTGATGATAACATTCAAACTTCTGAGGTTTTTTTTTTCTCGATTTGAATTTTCCCAAATGGATCAAAACTATTGACAAATTAATAATAAACAACAGTCTAAAACTGTGATGGGTCTTCAAGCCACTTTGACTACCACATCTTTACTGCCACAAGTACAAAAGACCGGAGATTACGATCGTTCTGTCAAATACAGTCAAAGAAGATTCAACAATTCAAAGTGAGTCTCTACGACCTACATCAATCCTCAATTCAGCCGTGACAAAGAGAAGGTTGAGTTACAGCGGAGTAACTTGGAATAGAAGTGTTCCAATAGTGGCTATCAAGGCGATCAAATTCGATCGAAAAGGTCGAGATTGGCTAGAAACATTTTACTGGAGCAAGTCTACAAAACTATCAGAACGTGTGCCAAGAAAATCCAAGCCTCAAGAAAATCTGGAGAATGAAATCCGATACGAGAGGTGTTAGAAATTCTCTGATGGAGGTGATACTCAAAATGGAGAACTCCAGTGAGTCATAAAGAAGCGGATAATGCGTGCATTTCTGAGCTCCTCTGTGGTAACAGTTCTAAATCACACGTGCCTCTAATTTTTTATTTTGGCATAATGAGCCAGCACTTTGGATATTGCTTGCCAATGTTTGATTGTAGTGTATCTAGCGACTCTTTAGTTAGTTTACACACTACGGACCCATAATTTGGTATATCGAATTCTACTCTAGAGGTTGACTACTCTATACAACATAAGGCTCATCCCTCTGTTGATGCTACTAAATGGTGGCGGGGAAGAAAGATTTTCAACGTCTGTTAGGCGAGTGAAACTAAAGAAATCTGGTCTCAACTGTTGGAAAAATCCAAAAAACTTTCAATAGTTGGCAAGAGAAGTAAAAGCATTAGACGTACCCCTAAGGTGCACAATATATTTTTGGCTTAAGCACCAAAAGGAAAGCAGAGGCAATTGTAGAAAGGAAAGAACTACCTTGCAAGAAGAGGATGTTCAAGCAGAGATGGGTGCCTAAACTTATGGAAACAGATGCCTCCATTTGGATAGGAATTGCAACATTCAGATTACACCAATGTGACGATCTCAGCAGCTTCTATTACAAGCTTAAGGAGTGGAATACCATGTCTTTTCCTATGGAGTGGAATCAAACTCATTTGGTTCTCATACCTAAGACAGCTTCCCCAACAACTCCAATTGTTCGAATAATTTCTAAAATATAATTAATTTCTTTTGAAAAAAAAAGAGAGGAAAAAAAAAAATCCAAAAGTGGCAGAGTAACGGAGTATATTACGCTTTCTAGCTGGAGGATAGGAGAGATAACAAAGGAGCAAGCGAGAGAAACCATCAACAGTTTCATGATTATAACTTATAGTATTTGGGTATAGTCCCGTATAAACACAAAATAAATTACCCTTGTAAGTGAATTACGAACTAAAACACAAAGTTTAATCTTAATCCACTTTTTTTCTTCTTCTCTAATGCTTACCCGTTAAAATTTTGATTAACTCCTAGTTAATTTAATATTTTGGTTATAAATATGGACGGGTAAAATTAGTTATTATTTATACATTATTTGTAAATACAAAATTATCATTAAATGATGGATTGATGTGCTTGCGACAGGTGGATTTTTGTATTTAATTTTGCACCATGTGAATTAACCTATCTAAATATCGACATATGTTTGATTGAGAATTTTCCTTTAATATATTAAAGATATATTTTTCATGTACATAAGTAGAACCATGTGGCAGAAATCATTTTGTACTAAAAATGACCTTTACTAGATGCTTGGCCCGGCAGATGCCCGGACGCCCTTTTACTTTAATTTTGTGTTAATAGATAAATAAATTCTTGATTTGGAAAAAATAAAATAAATACACATTTAGTTTTTTTTCCCCTTTTTTAGCCAAAAATAAAACTAAAAATAAAAAAATCATCTCCCAAAGGAGAAAAAATATTAAAAAGTACAACCATGCAGAAATCATACAAAAGAATGTGGAGTAATAAAGGAGATAAGTTTATGGGCAAATTTAAATGTTATTTTAATGTGATTGATAAATGAAAAATGTTAGGAGTTAAAATTGTGTAGCTATTTTTGTAAAATAGCTTCTGTTTCTCCAGATAGAATTTTTTTTTTTTCAAAAAGATGACACGTGGCAGAATAGTTAATGCAATATGGTGCATTTGGAGCCAAAATTTTTTAATGAGAAGTTGCCACATCAACATCCTGTATTCTATTTTAATAGGGTAAATAAATAAATAAATGTATTCTGCTTTAATAGGGTAAAAGATATAAGTGCTATGGATTTGCTCACTAGACTTGGTTTTATTTTGTCGAAAAACCAAGGGAAAAAAAAAAAAAGAAATACAGTAAACAGTTGGCGCCAAAACCTAAAAGCATACTTCTCCGGGGACGCATACCCTAGACCCGGAAGACACTTTTTCAGAGCTGAAAAAATGGCGGAGGAAATATCCGTCATGGACATCGACGGCGACGATTACCCCAACGTCGCCGCCGTGAATAACAAGGGCAAAAGCGTAGCAGTCTCCAACAATATAGGCCCAAAATCTATTCCTTGGGTCGAAAAGTACCGCCCGCAATCCCTATCCGACGTCGCCGCTCATCGGGATATAGTTGACACCAGTAAGTCTAGTCTCACATCTTGTCATTTTCCTTTTGCTACGATGAGGTAATTCTGTGGAATATGCCTAATCAAAGAGTCCTGCATGTTTGTGGAAGGTTGATTATCTTTTCGGTTATTACGGCATTTTGGACATGCACTACAAAGTTAGGGTTTTGATTAAATACTAATTGTAATTTTTTTTTTTTTTTGGAAGTTTTGCCCTGAAGTTCTTCACGCCACTTTAATTGGTTTGCCGTCATTTGATGGGATGTTTTACCTATCAAAGTTTGAACATTTTGCTACTTTTTTGTTGATTGTTGAACACTCTAAATTGGAGATATTGGGGGCTAATGCTGTTGAATAGAGTGAAAATTGGAGACTGCCATTACTAATAGTAGAATTTTCTGCACTTGTCTGCCTTTGACAGACATTCATATAGATATAAAAAAATTGAGTGCAATGTAAGCAAATTTTCTATCACTAATTGGATGTTGGATGTTTCTGTGTGATATTTTGTAATACAGTTGATCGGCTGGCTAGTAGTAACAGATTACCGCATTTGCTTCTCTATGGGCCCCCTGGAACGGGGAAGACATCAACTGTTTTGGCCCTGGCTCGTAAGCTTTATGGTTCTCAGATGCATAATATGGTTTTGGATCTAAATGCATCTGATGATCGAGGGATTGATGTTGTCAGACAACAAATACAGGACTTTGCTAGCACTCAGAGCATCTCTTTTGGGTATGTATACATGTTTGTCTATACCAAATTGCCTTTCGAATTTATCAGTAAATGTCTTTGAATATCTACACGATCTAAGTTGAATGCCTTAACTTTAAGCATCTCTTTTGGAATGAACAATCATGGAAGGATTGAAAGAAGTTTTAGGCTTATTATGATGAAAAGTATTATTCATAGAGTTTGGTAATCCCTATCGAGCTCCTTTAGTTATTTCAATATGAATGAAGCATTGCCTCGTCTTTGAAATACGATTTCTAGTGGCACATTCAACTTGTTTTCACATCCTAAGTTTATTTTTCAAGTAGATTTGAGTACCTAGTTTCTATGACAGCCTGTCCTTTGACAGCTGCAATTATTACAATTCCGTTGGTAGCTGATGTACCTATGATAGTCTTCTTGCCATTAAGTGATCCTTTTCAGTATGGACTTGTTTTGTTTATTGTTTCTGTTGTAAGGATTGTTACTTTGATACTCAATTCTTTCTTACTATACATGCTACTAAAAACTAGATTTGTTTGCTCTGTCCTTGGTCTTTGAAGGATTACTTACATGGCTAAGTGGTTTTCATTTTACAGAGCGAAGTTTTCTGTTAAGTTGGTGCTATTGGATGAGGCTGATGCCATGACTAAGGATGCACAATTTGCTTTGCGCCGAGGTAACTAGCTATCACCTGAGCTTGCTTTTTAATTCTTTTCTCCATAATCAACATCCAGGCTTGTTTTCAACAGTGATTGAAAAGTACACCAAAAATACTAGATTTGCCCTTATATGCAATCATGTCAACAAGATCATCACAGCATTACAGTCAAGATGTACTCGGTTCCGCTTTGCTCCTCTTGATGCTGTCCATGTCACTGAGAGGCTTAACCATGTTATTAAGGCCGAAGGGTAAACTTTCAAATGCATTTGTTGTGTTGATTGGCTGACTGAATTTTTTTGCTGTCGCTTGTTTCATTTCTGTTATTTGTGAATATCCTTAATAGTTTTGTTATTAGTAGCCTTGACTTGTTACCTAGTTTTGTGGCTTCTTTACATCTGCATTGTTTCTTTTGAGTTCTCTTGGATCCTGTTATGAACTTTTAGTTCTCATACCTAACTACAAGGAAATTTAGGGAAGAAAAAATGAGAATGTTAAGATAAATGTGCACACCAGATCAGATGGGATTTGTGAATGTATTAGAAAGAATGGGTAAAACCAAGAGATGAGAAATGAGAGATTAATGCTGAATATGGTTTTACATATGTGCAGTAGACTTTTAGATGCCCTAGTACGACAAGTAGCTGACGTTAGAATTATTAGCTCAAAGTACCTAGAGCATTTGTGTACATGACCTTTAGATTCTTGGTTTTTCTGATACAACTTTTGCTCATTACAGGCTTGATGTGACTGAGAGTGGCTTGAAGGCTCTTGTTCGGCTTTGCAATGGTGACATGAGAAAGGCTTTGAATATTTTGCAAGTAATTTTTCTTCTTGCTCATTTGTGGTTGGTTTTTACTTTTTTTTTTTTCTCTTTTGGGCTATGTTTAGAAATTATGTTGAAGAGGCTGAGTCCTCAACCTGCCACTGAATTCCCAAATCTGTATACTCCTTGTATAATTGAACAAACCTATGCATCACCTGGTCCATTAAACCATAAAGCTGAGCCGATGCATAAAATTTGTTGCGACATAATTTGACTGGCAACTTAGGTCTGGTGTATGGCGGCCAAAAACAGCCTTTTTTTGGGGGCTTTTGGTGGTGTATTTAATGTATTGCTACTCTCGTTGATAACTGGGTTCCATGTATATATCCTCTTGTAACCGTATCCTTCCCATTAGGCTCAGCCTTACAACTTTAGAAATTGGACAATTAAATAACAGATGATCCTCCGTCAGCCAACTGTGTAGCTTGCGCAGTAGTAAGTCGAGCCATAGGTGAAAACTTATGTATAGACCATAGACCCTGGACAAGCTGGTCCCGATGTACTTAAACCCCCTCTTACCTGCAACTTCTATGTAAGCTTAGGAAGTACACATGCTAACTGTTCTTGTAATCCACTGGTGCGGTGCTGAACTCATTCTTTGTTTATTTCCTGGAAAGTTCCCTTGTAGCAGACCTAGATGATGGCATTGATATGATTTGAAATTTGCATCGTTGACATAGCACTAGTCTTCTTTATCAGAGTTTGAGCGACTGACCTTAGCTCTAGAATCTTCTTCCAAGAAGAGAATTGTAATGTGCACCTCGTGAATCCGTTGTGCTGTACTGAAAGTTACAACAGCTCCAGATAAGCACGTGTAATAGAACATTTTGTTCCAAATATCACTATAGCAAGTACTGAAGTCTTCCTTGTAATAGACCTCCCATGAGCTACTCTCGTGCAATAGTCCTCTTTAAGATTTCGAGCGCGACAGAAAGCAGTTGGTATTTGTTGGTTCTCTTTATTGTCTGTATTTTTAGCCTTGAAAGTTATCAGGGGAATGGCTAATTTTGAAGGATGCAGTCTATTACGTTCTGAATCAAATTTGAAACTTCTGCCTAATCACGTTGTTGCTGCTAGCAATTAATACTCATCCGCTGCATCTGTGTTGGTTTTATTATCACAGAGAGCCGTTAAATCATTTGAAGACTAGGGCATCATTATAAATGAGACTTTGTAGAAGTAGTAAGATTAAAAAAAAAAAAAATTCTCATAAGAGATGTGGTGGCTGTCACTCATGACAATGATGATGAAAAGCTACCCTGCTTAGAAATATTATAATAAAAAACACCTGGTACGCATTTCCATGGCAATTAAGAACTCGTAGAAACAGGATCCTTTAGTTTGGGTTACCAAGGGATCAATGAAATCAAAGGACACCAGACAGTACTGACACATGCTTAACCCACTAAACACACTGATTAGGAAAACCAAGTAACTTACAGGAGTTGTACAGGAACTTCCTCTGCAATATATCATAGGCCCTGCGTGATGCCTAATTTAATAATTAAGTCTACGTTGCTAGTTCATGCATTTACTTAATATGATTTTGAGTTGAAATGTTTGGTCCTAGCTCCAGTCAACATCCATGTATTTTGAGGTTTCCTCATCAAACTCAGGTCTTACAGTTTCAAGGAAGTTAATATTAGAATCACATTCCTTGTTATGCCTTCTATAGTGATACAGAACTAGATTTGAATTTAGTGTTTTTTTTTTCCCGCTCTGAATTTGAAAAATAACTAGTTGGCCTTGGCATGCTGAAATCTTTATATGATAGTTTTTGCACCTAACCATTGAAATTTGATATCACAAAATTTCAATGATGTTTTCCATCCAAATAGATCTTGCTGAGAATTCTCAGTTATTTCTATGAGCTTGTTGACGAAATTCACTTTGGTGCACATCAATTTAGTAGCTCTCAGCTCGTCTGTTTGATGCTAATACTTTGGTCATATTTGGCCCATGCAGTCGACGCACATGGCTTCTCAGCAGATATCAGAAGAAGCCGTGTACTTGTGCACTGGGAACCCCATGCCGAAAGATATTGAGCAGATATGTCACTGGTTGCTGAATGAGCCATTTGGTGTTAGTTATAGTCGTATCCTTCTCTACAAATTATGCTACTTTGTTACCTTTTGTGTTTCGATCAATTTCCGATGCTCAAGCATGGTAGTTTAAGTAGGGAATAAAGTATCAGGATTGCATTAAGTTGGCAGCCAATATAGAACTAACTGCACTATAAGTGCCATATAAGAAAATGTAGGCTCCTAACTTTTGGGAACGTGTCTCCAGAATGTATGTGTTTCTTCTTGACAAGAGTGAAGAAAAGGAAAGATGTGGAAAACTTAATCCTACGGGTAATGCATAAAGATGTAAGAAAATGTGGAAAGACATTAGTAGGGATATTAATAAGTCTCGAATTATATTGATTTGCATCAGGGATCCTCTCTGATCCTGTTAGGCTGTTCCTTCTGCTAAAGATTGGATAAACTAGTTCTTAAATGTATCTTTGCAGATCATTGTTTTGATGGATGGACAAGTGTAGGAGTGATGCAAAGTTGGAAATTTGTAGGTAGACATTATAAGCAAAAGGTTTCTGTGGGAGTTAACAGTTGAGTACATAAAGTGCAAGTTCAACAATTGCAGAAGTGTTAGGGTAATTGTGAGTATGAATCAGATGTATATACAGTTAGAATATCTAGGATATATCCTCAATAAATTGAGGAAATGGGCAAAGATGTTATGTATGGAAAATATGAGATTGGAACAAAAGGAGAAATGCATGTCTAAACTTTTTGTTCATATAAAGTATGATTGAAATGGAAAAAGAGAATTTCCTGATGAACAAGGACAGTATAAATAAACTCAGTAAGATGTGCGCAGATTGAACTCTAGCTTTGATAGAATACATAACAATCAGATTTAAAAGAAAGTGGAATCAGTTGAGAAATTGAGAGGGATCTGTTTAAAGATTAGTGGTGCATAGAAGATCTTCATATGCAAATAGAAAATAGATCTGTAAAATAGATTGAGAAGGAGAAAACGCAAAAGATTGAAAATTGGCTGCTAAAAAAAAAAAAAATACTTAATTCACTTAAATGTAGACTCAAATGTGTTTCTGAGAATGCGATGGCAGGATATGATTCAGTTAATTGGCGGCTACTGTTTGCTTGTTTTTTGTTATTAGAATGTATTCCGTTTGGTTTTGTGATCTTAACCCCATTTAGGGATTTCTGAGATCAAGACTAGGAAGGGTCTGGCCCTCGTGGATATTGTAAGAGAAGTGACCATGTGAGTGCTTTTACTGTAAATTTCTGCCAAAAAAAAAAAAACGGAAAAGACATCCCATTGACTAACTTTAAATATATTGGTTGCAGGTTTGTTTTCATGATCAAAATGCCTCCAGATGTTCGAGTTCAACTGATTAATCAACTGGCTGACATTGAGTATGCATAAGTTTTATTCTTTTTGCCTTAATCTGCAACTCCTGCTCTATCATGTTTCGGATTTATTCAAAAGATTTTTTTTCCTTTTGTTATTCTTCTAAAAGTTTTTTGATGGATCAATTGGCTTGGCTGTTCTGTCATTCTCAGGTACAGGTTGAGTTTTGGATGCAATGATAAACTACAGCTTGGATCAGTGATATCTGCCTTTACACAAGCACGATCTGCTCTGGTTTCTGCTGTAAAATAGTCAGGTTAACTTGGTGGTCTTGTCGTCACTGAGCTGCAAGCATCTATTCTCATCAATGCAAATTTTCATATGTATCCTCGTTTGACGTCTGCAAAATGCTTAGCATGGTTTATCTTTGTATAGTTAACCTGCCATCCACTCCCTAGTATTCACGACATGAAAAATGGTGTCATAATCCTTCTTTCGGAGTTGTTATAATTCAATTCCCGGATTTGGTCCGCGGAGTAGCGGAGCGCAGTTATTTCTTTGCATTTGTTAGTATTTATTTATATGAATTCATTCTAAACCAGAAATTCTGCCAGTATCTTTTGGTATAAACTTTCGTGGTCGTTACAATTAACGTCTATGCCCGACAAGCTCATTTCCCCCCTTACAGGTTTTTGGGGTTGAGGCTATATCAATGATCATTTTTCTTGTGTTTTGTTTTGGGAATCACACGCTACGATAAAACTCTTTAGCTTTATTCTCACAATTCGAATACACAGAAATGGATATGGATGATGATTGATTCTACCTTTAAATCATCCTCTTGTTTTTTCCTTGTGATTTATTTCTGCTAATTCTGGGAAGAATTGTTTCCCAGTACGAGGACTTAATATATTGTATGAAGCATTAAAATTACGTATCGCCTTTGGCGCCATCCCCTTTAATCTCAACCAAGGAAGCAAATAACAAATTCGAAGTAGTTGGAGCAAGTGATATCTTAGTAGTTCTGACATTCTCAGGCGGATGGCGTTTCATTTAAAAAAAAAAAAAAAAGAAAGAAGGAAAAAAGAAAAGGGACACAGGCGCGCACAGTTTTTGTTTCCCATCATCAACAATCTATGCTTTTTTTTAATGGTAATTTGTGCTGGATGGTACAAATGAAAGCAAATAGCTCCAACCATTCCAGCCATGAAAAAGGGGCTACAATGGCAAAAGCTCGCTCTCACTGCAACCAGTTTTCTCTGAATTGGTATTCAGGATGACATTTACATATACACATGTACAACAGCACTCTCCATCAACAACTATCCCCTGTCATTCTCCATGTTCTCTACCCTTACAAAAATATTTCAATAATTTACATTGCACGAAGTGGCATATCTTTTCAGGCTTGGCATTATGCAGAAGTGCAGACTAACTTACCACCGGCCAGCCTGTCTTTCGCGTCACCTTTTGATGACATATACCGCCTCTTAAACACGGTCAAGTCGTCAGTCGTTAACACTTCAATCTGCCTTGAAATGTCCGAGGAATGATCTTGTTCTCATTTACACACTTTTGTCCGATAGCCTGTTAGCCCACGTAATACCAAGTTCAATTGTTCGGGATGAGCTATCTTTGTTGCTATCATGTCTTAGGTTGAACTGACCAATGTGTGTCCCCTGACTCACAACTTTGTCGATTTGAATCGTCAATTTCCCTAGGGTTGTCTGAGAAAACACATGCAGTAAAGATGTCAAGCAAAACATGTCCTCAAAAGACCGATCATATCTGGTGCAACAGACAACACACTTTCAAAACAATACTACATTAGAACCAATCAGCAGGACAGCTTTTATTCAATAACAAACTTGCTTTCGATTTTACATTTTCAATGGAAAATAATTAGGAGGTGATTCCTTGCAGTGAGAATATTTCTCATTTGAGCTTAAAAATGCATGCAAAAGAAGAATGATTACCTTTCCGAAAGTACTTTTGCTTTTACATATTATATAAAGCTTCTGGCCCTTTGGTGGTACATCGAAGGCCCATGTGAAACTTTCTTTCCATTCTGGGGAAGTGCTATGGTTCACAACCTGCATACAAATGAAGAGGCCATTAGGAATAAAACTAATGTTTTCTTGTTTAGCGTGGTGAAAGGCAAATAAAGTTTCTTAGTGAATCCCTGCAATGGCTGATGTAGAATCTACAATCAGAAGACACTTTAGCATCAGTCACTTTCATTCCCAGCAATCAACCATAAACAATACACAGAGAAACTCAAGTATTTTTAATATCATGAGTATTTCTGTTCCTCTCAACATTTGACGAAACAATAGTCCTACATCGAAAAAGTGACGCCCAAATCAATTCCACAAAAATCAAACAGAAAGAACACCAATTGCTTAAACATACTTTTGTCTGCCTTGCCGGACCATTGCCGATAGTTAATCGACAAAAGGCATTTGTACCACCCATAACTTGCTTAAGGTTATTTGCACGTTCGATGGTGACCGTTAAACAACCAGGTAAGCTCTGCAGGAGGTTCTCTGCTCTGTCATGGAAACTGGGTGGGCAAGTTTCGATGAGTTTTTGGAGAAATGGAATGGCTTCAGCGGCAACCATTGCTTGGGATCTGGATACATCAATTGGAATGGATGGCCAAGATTGTTTCAACAAACACAAAGTGTTCAGTGCACAATCTTTTCCCACCTCATTATCAGATTGAAGTGCAGCCACCAGAGGAGGAATACAAAGAGTAGCTGCTTCAGAAATATGGAGCTTAGGGAAGTTGGCAAACATAACATGTATGGTTTTCAAAACCTCTTCATTGATGGTTGCGTTGGAGCCTATTTCCCTCTCTAATGCAGCTGCATATAAATATGAAGTTGGAGCTAATATCAGTAGATATCCAAGATGAATGTCTATTTGGAAACTGTCAAAAAATTCATTCAACCAATTTTAAATTGTATTATTGTTGCCTCTCCTAATCAACTCTGCCTACACGATCATACCTAAACCTCATAGCTTAATGAATGATAACCTAATTGCAAATACATCATGTTAAATTCTCGAGTCCGGTGGAGTTTGAATGCATTTTTATTCTGGGAAAAATTAGTTGGAGAATTTACTATACAGAATGTTGAACCAACTACACAATCACCTGTCAGAGACCGGATAAGCTCATTTGATACGTATTCCTGAAGCGTATGATTTGAAAATAGAAACTTGATGAGCAGCGCTGCCTGTGCAGAAATGTCAGCATTAGAAGACAAAATCAATTCCTGAATTACCAATATGCCGCCTGCTTCAGCAACAGCTCTTCTATTGGTTCGACTACGCATAACAAAAGTTTGTAGCGCACAAATAGACACCATTGCCATATCTTTTGTCGGCTGATCTTTGAGCAAGGTTATCAGTGCTCTACACGCTGAAGCAGAATCGCTGATTCTGGCAAGTCCTTCATGCTGAGAGAGGTTGCCAAGAGCAAGAGCTGCAATAAGCTTGCCTGACTGTGATAGAGTTTGTGGGTCCAGTAAGTACTGTGCTAGAGGAGCAATGGCATATTTAGATACCTTCATCTCTCGTATTTGTGCATTATTGAATAACGTTTCAAGTAGTCTTGCTGATGCTTCGTCACATTGATGAGATCTTAAGAGATCTAGCAGAGCATCAACAGCCCCAGCTTGCACCATAAGTTCGGCAACTGCAGCATCAGTTCGTTCTTGAACAGCCAGTGCACTAAGAGCAAGAGCTACTGTGCTCTCCCGAGAGGAATATAACATTTTTACTAGAACCACCACAGGAACCTCAAAGTAGTAGTCTGCATTAGAACGCAAAACATTAGAAAGAAGCAGAGCCGCTGATTCCAACAATGTGTCAGATGGTTCAGGTTCATCTTGAACTATTATCTTAGCAAGCTCAAAAATTCCCCCAGCATCAGCTATACTCTTTGGCCAGCTTAATGAAATACTCTTTAATGCCTTTACTGCTGCTTGCTGTAAGTTCAATATTCCTATGCCTGCAAGATGTACAAGGGGCTCAACTGCACCTTTTGTTGTTATATCTTGCATAAAATGCTCTTGTTCCAACAGATGGGATAGCAGTTCGGTCCCAAGTTGTTGTATAACTTGTGATGGAGATTCCAAATATGTGACCAGTGGCTCAATAACTTGACTGGCAGTAAGTTGTAGGGTTGTTAGGCTTTGTGGTTTCTCTAAAATATTAAGGAGTGTTTGCAGGGCACTGTGTTGTCCCCGCAAATCAAAATCTGGTCGAAGTAACAACATGAAAAGAGGTTCCACAATTTTTATGATAACTGGACTCTTTGAAATCGCACTGCTATTTGTGAGTATGCGGAAAAGTTCTGCAATTGTTGAGCAAACTGAACTTGGCACAGAATAGAGTAACTGAAGACAATTATCAATGATGCCAGCTTTCACCATGTCAAGTTTGCGAGGAGTCCTGTCTTTTCCCAGCTTAACAAGAGCACAAATGCTTGCATTTATAAGCCGGTAATTAGAACCTGAAACCAGTTGAACAAGAAGATCAACAACATCATATGCCGATGCAAGTTCCACTAGTTGCTCATCATCTAACATTTTCTCAAAGGCGCAAACACCAGATTCAAGAGCTTTGTCTGACCCTGACTGTATCAGTGTCATAAGGGGGTCTATGAAATCCGCTGCAATCGGCATTTCTCTGAATTTTGAGTTGCCAAAAAGCACTGAGCAAAGCTCTGCAGAAGTACTTTTTAATTCAAACGAAGAGGAAGAAGAAGAGAGAATTCTAAGTAGGGGGTCAAGAGGATTTACTTCAGCATCTGCCATTAAGGATGCTCTAGAACTATTTTTTGAAGTCAACTTAATCAATGCAGCAAGCGCTGCTGCTTGTTCGCTTCTGGATGCAGAACCGAGCATTTCCACCATAGGTTGAACTGCTTGGGCTGATGCTTCAGAATTTCTGACCTCTTCCGAATCAAAAAGCTCCTCGAGAGCCTTAGCAGCATTTAATCTTGCACTTCTTGAACCCAAATGTAGAACTGCGATCAGTTGGTTTGTGCAACTAATTGCTGCTTCATGATGAACAAGCTCAAGATTGCTGAATAGTATTCTCAATAACTCAGAGATTGTATCCTCAGTCAAATCTTGAGGGCTCAAGGACATGTATCTACTCAAGGCATCCAATGCACCTACTTCTGCCATGACTAATTTGTTTGCATCATTTCCATCTGCAATTCTCGTTAGAAGCCGAACAACGAATGGAGGTGCACCTGGTCTGTCTGGCATTGGTCTCAACAAATCAACTAATATCGGGATGGTCTTTTCTGCGGTAGAACCAATCCGCACATCCTCCATCTCGAAAAGGAGTTCCAGAACAACTTGATCCGGGTTTTTGACCAAAGAAAAATCATCAGATAAAGCAACAAGTTTTGGCATATCAGATTCTACGTGCCCAAGTAGGCTAACTAATCCAGCAACAACACCAAAGTATGCAACGGCAAGGTTGATTTCTCTGTTGCCTTGAGAAACAAGACTAGCTATTGCCTGGGCAGCAAAGAATCTGTCAATCACTTCCTCTGACTTCAATAAATGATCAAGTAAAGGGATGAATTTCAGGGCTACTGGAGAGAGAGCAATATTTGAATCCTGGAATAAGATAGCCAAGAGTAAAGCACTAATCCATAGGCCCTCTGCATCTTGGGATTCTACCTGCAGTAAGCAAGCATATAATTTTTTGGTAAGTTTATTCAATATTCAAATTCAGTAAGAGAATTGGAGTGTGTTTGACTATCAAAACGAACCTAGATCAGCATATGATTAAAACTGGTTTCACTGTTTGCCCACTACAGCATCGGAGCAATTTAAAAAGATTGAACTGACCTTATGCTTACTACATATACTGTTGGTTTGGCATTTCAATTAAAAGAAACCCAACTTGTAAAACTACCTCATCTCAACTACAAGAAGCATACAGATACTCTGTTGCAGTTTTCAAGTCAAGTTCACAAGCCAAAAGTAAGAGAACTTAATATCATCCCTCCTACTCAAACTGGACCAACATGTTATCGGTAATTCAACTATCAAACTATTAAAGCAAGGAGAAAAGCCTACACTTCCCTCAAATTCAATCTGTGCCTACGCATGAATTGAGAGATTTAGATGGAGCACGATAGCAATGATCTGTAAGCTGACGCCACATATTAGAATCAAGACTTAGTTAATCATGTGGAGTTGAGAAATATATCAGCACAAAGTATTTCAGAAAATTCAAGCCAAGAAAATCAATTTAAAGGACATGCCTCAGAGTGTTCTTTTCTAGTGACCACATACACTACCTGTATCTAATTTTTCTGTGTCTTCAGATAAACAGGAAAAAAACAAAATCATAAAGAGAAGATCAAATCATACCTGCTGAATAAAATTGAAAGATGTAAGCTTATCATAGAGAGCCTCCAGTCCACCAGCCTCAACCACTGTTAGTTTGTTCTTTCGGTGATGAGAAGACATGATAGATAGCAACCACAAAGCAACAGTACCTCCCAAAACAGTAGCCGGATCAGGAATTCCATGAAAATCATTTTTTTCACTGAAACCCCTAGGTGTTTTAACTTCAATCTCTAGAGAGCTACAACTAGATTGCTCCTTCATCATATCTACTAGAGTATAAATAAGGGGTTTCAAGTATCCAGACATATCAAGTGCATCCATTGATTGGACTCGGTGTTCCTTGGCAGCACAAATAAGCAGGGCTAATCCACCAACTCTCACTTCAAGACTAGATGAATTCATTATTCTATTAGCTAATGCGATGATGGACCTTGACCTTGCTACCAATGCATCACTTAGCCCAACTGGCTGATCCCCACAAAGTCTAGATAGTATCTCTATCGCCTTGTCTTGCACTTCAGGTGGTCCATCAGATAGGCACTTCACAAGGACCTTTACCGCTGAAGGAGCCTCCGCAAGGGTGGACCAAAGCTGATAACTGAAGTTTATAGATTGATTTGTCCTTGCCAATAGTCCGACAACATCTAAAGCATCAAGAACATCATTCCAATTTGTATCCATTTCATCTACGGCATCAAGAATTGCAAGAACAGCAAATCGACGCTGAGCATTGTTGGTGAGTACATCACTCACTGGAAAGTGCCTTAATAGTTGATGAAGTGCACGTGATGCATTTTTCTTCCCCTCCAATGATCCCTCTCCCAAACCTCTTGTCAAAGCTGAAATGACGTCTTCTGACAGTGCTTTAGCTGCTACCTGAGGATCTGATAACAAATTGGCCAGTGAAGCCACAGCAGTCTCTGCAGAATCAATTGATGATGTCTTTGCTATCTCAACCAATGGCTTAACATCACCTTCTGCAATATAAGACTTTTTTTTTGAAGATACTGTCTTTGAAGGGCGAGACAAAGCTCCCAAAGCATGAGCTGACTGTATTGCTTTTGCATTACGATTACTGTTGCTAGTCAAAAGTTTTATGCAATGATTAATTACTTCATCTGTTGCAAGATTATCACAAATATCTTGACGACTGCGAAATAAGTCTGCCAGAACAGAAGCAGCATACTGTTGGTTTCGCTGGCTTGATGAATTAAGAACCTGAATAAGTGATCTCAATCCCTTGTTAGCAGCAGTACCATCTTCTGCAAGGTCACTGTATGATGCCACACCAAGCACATGACCTAGAACCTTGATTATGTGAGCTTTTGAGCTTGGGGAGTCTCCCAACAGCAGCATCATTAACTGATCAATAGATGCTGAGTCTGCTTCCCGAATAAGCATCATTAGGATCTCAGCAGCAGTTTCCTGCCCCTCTGATCCACCATTCTTTAGAAGCCACAAGAGTGCTGGTACAGACCCAGCACTTTCCACACAACTACGAATATCTTCACTATGGGAGCACAAATTGAGAAGTACACTTGCTGCATTTTCCCTGGCCTTCTGAGATCCCATTTCTAACAACTGCACTAGTGGAGGTATGCCACCGGAACCAGTAATGGCCCATTTGCTGTCATCAACTTGGTCGGTAAGCATCCTAAGCATTTCTACAGCATATTCTTGATGCTGCTCACTGGACAAACCCAAGAATGATATTAACAACTGAATTCCCTCTTTGTTTTTAATAGCTTCCCAGATATCCACAGACTCACAGCATAATTGTATAATAGAAAGTATCAAAAACTCTTGTGCATCACTAGAAGCCAATGTTATGAGCCCTGTTAGCACTTTTTTAACTTCTGGCTGAGAGGTTGTACTCGACAGATGAACATTTGCATAGAAACTGGCCATGGCCTCCAAAATCCGTTCCTGTACCAGCTTATTATCTCGAGGTTTTAAAAGCATTATTAGGATCTTTTCAATTTCAGTTGCATCAAAGCTTTTCTCCTCAGGGCTCTGCTCAAAAACCATAAGACAATAAGCAAGTGCTCCAATGATATCAGCTACAGGAGCAGACAGTCTAGGGGACTGAGCAAGCTCTCCAAGATAAAGTATAAGGGTGGACATCCCACCACATATATTAGCTAAAGCTTTTGCTGCATGTTGCGGAAGAGTTTGTGCCCCCTCTCCTTTTATACCTTCTTTAGAAGGTGCAATTACAGCCCCAATAAGTAGTGGTATTCCCTGAGCGTCAATAATAGATGTTTTAGCCTTGGGTGATCTGGATGATAGGGCTTTCAAGGCATCAGCTGCATTGGCACGTGCAGAAACATCATTCTCTGGAGCCAAAAGTTTGAGTAAAGAATTGATTGCCCCGGAAGCAAGTACTTTAGCTATGCTATCACTGAAAGCCAGAATCACCCGGGCCAAGAGAGAGGCCGCATTAGATTGAGCAACTGAATTGTCAGAAGAGAGAAGCCTTACTATGATATCAACACCACCAGCATCAAGTGTTGCAGTCCAATAACCATCTTTATCCCCGCAAAGATTTCTCAAAGCCCCCGTGACATAGCCTTCTACCACTCTGTCCAGCTTTTTTTTGAGAGTTAATTGTTCCCATAAGGCGGGCACCACCCCTTCTGTGACAAATATTTTCCTTCCAACATGATCAGCAGCAAGTCCGCAAGAGGAAATAGCACATAGTGCCTCTGCAGCTACCTTCCGTGCTTCATTTGATTCTGATTTCAGCATTGATAGTAAAGGAGGGACGGAACCCCCAAGTAAGACCTTTACCCTTAAATCTTCCTCTCTACACATGACACTTAATGTAGCCGCTACATTAACCTTGGCCAAACTTGTTCCACTTCTAAGTATGGATACGAACAAAGCCATTGCTTGGCTATGTGTTCCAATAAGCATCCTGGCTTCCTTTCTTGCTTTACAAATGCCCAACAAGTGGGCTGTAATAAGCTCCTTCTCAGGTGGCGAGGACTTGCTTGCATGCAGCTGTTCGATAAATTTAGCAACTCTGGATGTAGTGCTTTCTGGATCATCCATTTCTGAAGCTCCATTTGATTCCCTGGCCAAAACATTAATCTCCATTTTCAAGGCAATGTATCATGAACTGAAATGGCTATCTATATTCTGCATGATGATCTACCATTCTATCTACATCAACAGTTTGAGAATAACGCAACCGTGTTACACATTTTTTGGAGGAAGGAAAGCAAGCAGCACTGACCTATTATTTTGAGAAGAAGATGAAAACTTCTGATTCCTTGGTTTGGTGGATGCAGTCTTTGACATTTGCAACAGCTCTTCAATTTACAATTCTTCTTTAAAGTGTGAATCATGTAGCTATGTTCTACACATGATGATAATGTCCAATCGAACCACTGATTATTTATTAAATCAGTAAGTGTTATGTTCCATAACAGAAAAGGTACCCCCAAAAATTCAAGGTTAAAAACGAATAGAACACAGATATTTCAGACTTCCAAATGTTTTATTTTTAACACCAATCGAATCCCCAGAACAGAAAGTAATTTTCTTAAATAATAAGTCGAATAATTCAACCACAAGATCATCAAAACTACAACCACAACAAAACATCATAGCAATCCCACTCAGTAGAAACGGAAATTCATTGGAAATTCACCTCAGCCCAGAAGCTTTTCAGGTTTGACAACAGAAGAAAAGCGCCGCTCCCTATCTTCTCAAGATTTAAGCTTCTTCAAATTCTCAATTCGCTGTCCTCGGAAAAATTGAAATTTCCCCCAAGCAATATAACATGATACACCGCCAGAAATCTCCACCGAACTGGAAAACCATAAAATATGGAAATTAAAACACCCCAGATCCTAATTTTGGCATAACTACACAAGGGTGTCCATAAACAATGCATTTGAACGTTAAGCATGCTAGTTTCAGAACATGCATATTTATACACCTGAAGTTCGTCTAAATGACGACCACCTCGAAATGCAAATTCGAACATTAAGGTCCAATCAATTGTATTCCGTGAAAGCAATCGGAGAGACCGGATCATAAAGATTCTTTCATAAACTTGTGTGTGCAATCGGAGCTTTTCTAGTTTTATGTATTTATTTTTTTGTAATTGTCCTACGGGATTCAAAAAATTAAAGCAACCAGGAGATATGGGTGAAAGATTATGGAATTGAAAACACAGTAGAGCAAAACCCATTAGGAGATTGGGAAATGTACCTCTGAGAAGTTAATAATTTCATAAGAACATCGCCGATGGAGGATGAAAATTTGGAGGTTCGGAAGAGGGAGGAGAAACAGAGAGAAATATTGGAAGCCGGTGATGTTGTTATGTTTTTAATCGTACCACTTTTTCCTACTCTTAATATTTTGATCAATGACTACTACATGTAAAAATAATGCTGTATACTTTTCTTTTCTTTTCTTTTTTTTTTCTCTTAATTTTACTTTTATCCACCGCATCCATTCTTTTTTTATCATTTTTTTTCATCCAAATGTGTCAACTCGAGGGATGAATTTCTAGTCTAGATGTACAATTATAATAGTAACTTCCTCAAACGATTTCCTTTTAAAAACTAAAAAGTACTTCAAAGGGAGAAAGGTGGTAAGCCACTTTCAATATCTACTTGATTCCTTAGATGCAAAATTATATAATTGGCGCAACAAGCTATTGTCAAGTGCGAGGCGTTTGATTCTAATCAAGCATGTGCTTTCTTCTATCTCTCTCCACACTTTTGCTGCAATTGAGCCACCAAAGACTATTGTTCAAGCTCTAGAGACAAGATGTCAAAATTTCTTATGGGGTGAAACGGATCAAGATTTGAAAAGGCATTGGAGATCATCTTTCCCGATAGAAGAAAATGGAATTGGCATCCGGCAATTTAAAGACATTATTGATGCATTTGCTTCTAAGTTATGGTGGAAGTTCAAAATTCTAACTGGAATATGGGTCAAGGTACAGTGTCTTTTTGTTTGATAAATGGTTTGAACTTGGAATATTATGTAGAATGAACCAGCAACCTCGACCACCTCTATTGCATCTCTCAGTTAAAGAATTTTTTGAGGATCACCAATACATTATGCCGGCAATTGCAGGCTGGTTGACAGACAGCTCGGTCATTCAGGACACATTTATTTGGCAGCCATCTCAAACAGGAACTTTCTCAATAGTCTCAGCATATCATGTTTTGCGGGACAAATAACAAGGCAACTTATGGATAAAATCATTGTGGAATAAAGTGGGAATTTCTTTCTTTTGTTGGAGATTTTTCAATCGATTGCTGCCTTTGTCCGGCATGGTCCTTAAATTTGGCATTTATGCTAGTTCTTCTTGCTGCCCTCGCTGTCTAGAGCATGAAGAATCTGTCGATCATGTCTTTTTGGGTTGCTCAGCCGTGGTTTGGGTTTGGAGGTTTTTTGCGGACGAAATGAATTTGCATCTACCATTTCAGGAAAGCCTTTGGGCTTTCATCCAAGCTTGGTTGTCTATTGGGAGTTTCTCTACAGCTAAAAAGACCATAATTATGACACTCCCGGCTTTTATACTTTGGAAATTGTGGAAAGCTAGAAACTCATTTATGTTTGAAGGTAAAAGATTTCATTTTCATTCTATTGTTTCTGTGATTAAAACTAACATTTCAGGTTTGCTGCGAGTCCATAACTTGAGCGCTGAATCACGAATGGAACAACATAAGTTGGAAGATATTTTTCAAGTTCGGGTTCAACTTCCGAAAATAAAGATGATTATAATGGTATCTTGGAAGCCATCCGACCCTGGGAATTTTATTTTAAATACGGATGGCTCAGCGAAAGGAAGTCCAGGTGAAGCAGGATGGAGTTATGTGGTTATAGGTGAGCATGGAAGATTGATTCATGCAGCATGCGGTTACCTAGGTCAAGAATTCAGTTTCAAGGCTGAAATTCAAGGATTACTTGAAGGTTTCAAATATTGTGAAATGCAAGATCTCTCAGCAGTCCAAGTGCAGCCAGATAGCAAAGTAGTCGTGGATCTTCTTCTCAAAGGTAAAGATTTCCCATGGAAATATTATGCAGAATTAACAGAGATATTCAATATTCTCAGGAGGAGGCGCTCAACAACACAACATGTTTTCCGTGAAATCAATGCAGTTGCCGATTTACTTGCTAAAATGAGATCAAATGGTATACATATAAACTATGATTCTTATCTGGCAATACCACATAAGATTTGTGGTTTAATAATGCTAGACCAAAGATCTTTTCTATACCTCAGAATTAGATAAGGATTTCATAGTCATTTTAGAATGTCTTTAGGTCAGATAGTTTAAAACTACAGAACTGATGTAGGATTATGCGTAATCTTTGTAAATCAGTTTATAGTATCTCTTTTCAAATTAAGAATTGAACTATCAGGGTTTTTAGAAAAATCTTTGTAAGAAAGTTCATAACTCTAGTTTGCTTAGAAATCGTCATGGAGTTTTTAGAAAACTTTTGTGAGACGTTTTTTTTCTATTGGGTAAGTTTTAAGCACTGCATTGTGTCACTTTTTGCTTTTACTTAATAAAATCAGGGTTCTCCCACCAGGTACCGCCCTGGATTCTTCTAAAAAAAAATAAAAATAAAAAGTACATAATGTCAACACCTTCTATCAAATTTTTCTCCCAAACTATAATCCTTTGCCTGGCATGCTTAAAGAAGAAGAAGCTGCAGTGTCGTGTAAATTTGTTTAGTGCTTCATGAATAAAACATTATTCGTGTGTTTCTTTTTCCTTTTAGAAAAAATGATATGATTTACAATTCAGAAGTATTAGGAGAAATTGGTGTATTAAGTTTAGTTATTAACTACCCTCCGGTACCTATCTATCTACAGTGTTATAAGAGAGAAACTAGAGAGAGGTTCCAAACCTTCTCCTCATGTTGCCACGTAGGATAAAATCATAGGTGGCATTTTTATAATAATTATCCAAAAAAAAAAGTTTATGCAATGACACTACAAGTCCATAGGAATATATGGAAGTAAATTTGTTCACACCTATAATTTTATATTAATGGATGGCTAAATAGGAAATAAGAATAGGAAATAATTAGAAAATAATTATGGATTACTACGGAAATCTCTTTACCTCTTCCAACCCGCCAGAGTAAAAAATTCAGCAAGCCATTGGTCGATTAGTCCCAAAAGTGACTGCGGATATGAACAATCACTTAATGCAAACCTACACGGCGAATGAGGTCATAAAAGCTCTGAAGGAAATTTCCTCTTTCAAATCTCCTGGACCTGACGGTATGAGTCCTGTTTTTTTCAAAAAGTTTTGGAATATTGTCGGGTCGGTCATTCTTTCCTTTGTTTTGAATTTTCTGAATTTTTGAGTTTTTGATTGTAAAATGAATTACACTCACATCGTGCTTATTCCAAAAGTCTCTAAGCCTGAATTAATTACTCAGTTTTGTCCAATTTCTCTTTGCAATGTTGTATATAAGTTATGTTCCAAGGTTATTTCTAATAGATTACGTTCTACTCTTCCTTCAATTATTTCTGAGTCACAGTCTGCTTTTGTTCCAGGTCGAATTATCACTGATAATATTCTTCTTGCCTATAAAACCCATCATCATATGAAAACTCTCACAAAAGGCAAAAAAGGTCTTATGTCGATAAAGCTGGATATGAGTAAAGCTTTCAATAGAGTTGAATGGTGTTTTTTCAAATCGGTCCTTCTAGCATTAGGGTTTGGAGAACGTTTTGTCAACCTTGTTTTTGAATGCATTTCATCCACTCGTTTCTCGTTTATTTTAAATGGTCAACAATTTGGTGATCTAACCCCATGGAGAGGAATTAGGCAAGGTGACCCACTGTCACCATACCTTTTCATCATTTGCTCCGAAGTTTTCTCATGTTTACTTTAGGATTTACAAAGATGTGGTCGCGTCCATAGCATCGGAGTTACACGTCAAGCCCCTTTTGTGTCTCACTTGTTTTTTTGCAGACGATACTCTATTATTTGGTGACGAAACAGAGGAGGAAGCTGGATATCTACATTGGGCCGTCACACTTTATGAGAGAGTATCCGGACAGCAAATCAATATGGATAAATCGGGTATCTTTTTCAGCTCTAATGTGATTCCATCAACTAAAGTAACTGTGTGCAACATTTTGGGGACCCCAAAGGTTTCATGCCATGGAAAATACCTCGATTCACCCTCCATTGTTGGAAGAAACAAGCATGAGATCTTCGCGAGCATCAAAGATCGCATTTGGAAGAAAATTCAGAGTTGGAGCTCAAAATTTCTCTCTCTCGTAGGAAAAGAAATCCTCATCAAAGCAGTTCTTCAAGCTATTCCTTCGTATGCCATGTCTTGTTTTATGTTAACAGATGCCACTCTCCATGATCTACAATCATTATGCATCAATTACTTCTGGGGAGACTCAAACAATCGGAGGAAAATCCATTGACGCTCCTGGAAAGCTATGTCGAAGAGCAAAAAAGATGGCGGTCTAGGGTTCGTGACCTGAAAGCTTTCAATCTTGCCATGCTTAGCAAACAGGCTTGGCGGCTCTTAACTGATCCTCACTCTTTGTCGGCAAGGGTTTTACAGGCTAAATACTATCTAGATCAGAACTTCTTTGATGTTGGGCTAGGGCAATGACCATCACGGACCTGGAGGAGTATCGTTGAAGATCGTAATGTACTGGATTTTGGTTCTAGGAAGCAAATCAGGAGTGGAAACCAAACCAATATTTGGACAGATAAATGGTTGATTTTGGTCGTAATGTTGATAGATTTGTTTTTTCTTTTTTTAATTGTACCTTAATCGGGGGAACAATTTCATTGCATATAAAAAGTATATCGAAATAAATGGAAGTTGATTGTTTCACACCTATAATTTTATATTAATGGATGGCTAAATAGGAAACAAGAATAGGAAATAATTAGCATTGATTAATTTGATCCGGCTGGAATATTATTGATGGAGTATTACTCGGGTAATCAAGGGATTATACTCCCAAAAGACAATTTCATTGCATAAAAAAGAAAAAAAAAATTTCTTATATCACAGCTCGCACGGTATAAATTTATCCTACCGCTGAATTTTAGAGCCAATATATCTGCTTCGATTTCATCAAAGACTTGACACCAATGGTCGTCAAATCTAATTGGAATGTGTATGTAGGAATACTAAACTCTGGACAACAAATTTTGGGGCAAACTCATCGGTCGAAACTTTGCTTAGTGATGAACAGGTAAATTAATACAATTTAGTTTGTATTCATGCAATGAAATTATTTTGTTGTTAAGCCGATTTAGGTAAATATCACATATTTAGTAAAATTATTAATTGCAACTTGTGGAGTTGTTGTTTTTCTCCACTGTCAGGATCAAAA